ACGACTACATCTCGTGTTTGGCCTATGTATATGGCCCTAGTGACACTGCCCTCAAGCTGCGAAAGGTCGCGATGTGTGTTATCATGACCTGGCTGGGGCACCAATCTGACCGTACCGACCGACTTTTAATCGTCTACTTTTGGTCCTGTGTCCCATCGACGATCGATTAGGATTCTGGAGGCACGATGGACGAGGCGATCGCACACTCATCAACACCAAGCATGTCAAGTCTGTTCTGCTCTAGCTATCAAGATAAACCAAATCACATACTAAATATTATTGTTTAACTGAATGTCATCGCTTCAATACCCTACGCTGGTGTACACAGGTGTCCCTCAATAATGGTAGTAACATGATGTCTGCCAAGCACCTGCATCTCCATGTCAATAGCAGGTAGACACACCATCTGAGATGCCTGGCCCAAGTAAGGACTCGCTGTTTGATAAGGACCAATCCTACATCGGCGGTTAAGTTCAGCAACCACTCAGAGACGGCCCATTTGAGCAACTTTCCTTTCACATGTTCCTTTCATCACGTTACTACGCACCATTGCTGTGCTTTCTTGGTGCGCGAATTTCCGTACGCTCTGTACAGAGTAGCTTTTACGTTTGCCATTGCCTTGGGGGTATAAGGTGCTGAGGTACGCGGGCGCGCCAATGCCTCTAACAGCAACTCCGCGTGAAGTAAAGGAGCGCCCGCCCCACCCCCGTGTCGTGCCGTTGGACTGGGCTCGCTAGGAGGTGTGGGGTGACGGCATGCAGGCGGGAGGTTTCGTCCGGCGTCGGCGGGGGGTGGTAGGAAACCTTAGTTTCGGCCTGATGATTTCTTTTTCATACTGTTGTGAATGTGGACAAGTGTTACACATGTATGGATTCCAGAGACATGCTTGAGTCCGACTTCTCATTGCTTCGAAGCTGGAATTCTCGGTAATTTCTGGACCGGTCGGCGGGAGTTAACGGCACGGAAGGGATGGGAAGGAGGGGGCAAGGAACCGATCCCGGAGGCGGGTGCCATCGGCTTTCGGGAACGACTCCGCCGGTGGGGTTCGACGACACATAGTTTAGACACCTCCACCCTCTGTGATTACTTCGCACCTCATAGGACGTGGAAGTGAGTGTACGGGGGCAAATGTGTACCAGACAACTGTACTCGCGGTGATCGTCGGGGCGAGACGCGAGGTACGTCTAGGACCTGGACTGTTTATGTACTGCATGAATACTGTTGGGAGAGCACTGGCCGATCCCGCCCCTAGAAGCGCTGGCCGAGCAAGCGGGCGGAGGTCTGAAGGGGGAAAAGAGCTCAGGATTGCGCATGTATGATGTCTTTTACCCCGCAGGAGATAGTCCAAAGTTCGTGCTATGCAGTCTCTTATCAATTGTCTATATAACATGCTCATATCTCGGTCGTCTTCCTCCTTTCCTTGAACTTCCCTTTTCTGCAACCAAGTTTCGTTTACCAGCTTCAATATACACACACAAATAGTAGGCCCATTTCCTTGTAACCGGACGCATACAGACTGACATCCTCACAGGAGGCAATTTGCCGTACAAGCATCTTCACGAGTATGTGAAAACTCTTGAGCGCAAATGCATGAGCCGGTGCCCACCCGAGCGCAGACGTCGCTACCATCACTCTTCCTCATGATGAGTTAGCAACCGATGCCGACGGTGTGGCTGAGAATATACGGCCTTGAACTTGATCTGGATAATACCAGCGAAAGGATCATGCACCCTAACACAAACAGATTACACCAAGAACACACCCACTCGAGAAGTTCTTTCGAACCCAACGACAACAACCAGAGACAAAATGGCTCCTCCCGCTGCAATCTCCCCCGTCCGCGACTACGCCGTCCCCGTGATGGCCAATAAGTCCAAGCCCTCTACCCCCGTCCCCACCACCGCTACCAACGCTTCTACCAAGGTGGAAGACATGTTCGGCAAGTGGGATACCTTCAAGTTCGCCCCCATCCGCGAGTCCCAGGTCTCGCGCGCCATGACGCGCCGCTACTTCTCCGACCTCGACACCTACGCCGAATCCGACGTCGTCATCGTCGGCGCCGGGTCCTGTGGCCTCTCCACGGCCTACGTCCTCGCCAAAGCCCGCCCGGACCTCAAGATCGCCATCGTCGAGGCCGGCGTCGCGCCCGGTGGTGGCGCGTGGCTTGGAGGGCAGCTGTTCTCCGCCATGGTCATGCGCAAGCCCGCCCAAGTCTTCCTGGACGAGGTCGGTGTTCCGTACGAGGATGAGGGAGACTTTGTCGTGGTGAAGCACGCTGCGCTGTTCACGTCCACCGTCATGAGCAAGGTGTTGCAGTTCTCCAACGTGAAGCTGTTCAACGCCACCACGGTCGAGGATCTGATTACTCGCAAGAACGAGGATGGCAGCCTGCGGGTCGCGGGTGTGGTTACCAACTGGACGCTCGTCTCCATGCACCACGACGACCAGTCTTGTATGGACCCCAACACCATCAACGCGCCGCTCGTGGTGTCGACTACCGGTCACGACGGCCCATTTGGCGCGTTCTGCGTCAAGAGGCTTGTGAGCATGAAGCAGATTGAGCAACTTGGCGGCATGCGCGGGCTGGACATGCAGAGTGCCGAGGACGCGATCGTCAAAGGGACGAGGGAGATTGTGCCGGGGTTGATTGTGGGCGGGATGGAGTTGAGTGAGGTTGATGGTGCCAACCGTATGGGTGAGTCATCTCCTTTCACATACTTGGTTTGATGAGATGAGTGTTACGTTTTGCTCACGTCCTCGGGTGTTATTCAGGTCCGACTTTTGGTGCCATGGCTCTCTCTGGAGTCAAGGCTGCCGAGGAGGCTCTTGCCATCATTGATGCCCGCAAGAAGCAGAACGAGCTCTAGACTGGGGTAGTCTGATGGGACGGTCATTTTGTTTCATCCGAAGGTTGGGGACATAGTCGCTCGCTGCTTTCCAGATCAGGTAGGTTTGGGTTGAGGTGACACGAGATTGGATACTTTGTCATGGCTTGAGATCAAGTACACAAGATACAAACATTCAAGTATGATCTGAATACAGTCACTCTTTTGATACTATGATTGGAGGTATACCTGTGATGTGAAGATTGGAGAACCTTGACAGCTGTATGGCTCTGACCTTCAGAAGTATGCGATCTCTCAGGTAGTGGTGAAAAGGCACCTTGTTGGCTTACCTCAACCCACCTTGGGCATTCAAGGTTGCTCAGGCCTAGCGAAATCTAACTGAGTCAAGCATCCTCCCATAAGATCCCACCCCAGCAGCCAACTATCAAAGCCCAAACCACAGACATCTCTTCCACACTCCCTCACAACACCTCACATACCAACATGTCACCCAACATGGACATGACTACTATCGGAGCGCTTATGACTGAGCGTCAGGCCAACGACTTCATGGCTTTCCATGATGACATAACTGCCTGGCAGAACACGAGAAACCAGTACAGAATCTCCGGAAAAGAGGTCCCTCCAGCGATCGCAGCCGTCACAAGCTGGATCGAAGCCCAACTTGAGAAAGCAGTCGGGGCCATATACGACGGCGTATTGGAGACAGCACACGTCTATTGTAACCGGATGCGGTACGGAATGAGGGCTTTCGAACAGTTCACGCGCGAGGAGGCACTGTATGGCGGCCTCATCATGGAGCTCAGCCAGATCTTAAGAGACCACGACCTGATGAAGGACCTCCACTGTAGCGCCAAACGCATGCCAGAACTATGCGTCAAACACGACATGAAGGAAATTACGCCTCAGGAGATTGAGGACGCACAAGATCAACAGGGTTGGAGGGCGGCCACGAATTGGTCGGACTTGATCCGGGAGGTCGATCGAGAGCTTCGCTGCACCGCCGAGTGGAATCATTGCTACGGAAGATACGAGGAACGTGGCTGGCGAAGCACGCCTTTCGAAAGTCCGCCAAAACCGAAAACGCCCTTCTCGAATGTGGCGCGGGCAGTTATCGACCTTTGCCTCGATGAGGTCAGCGAGGAGGATAACTGGGAGTCCGTCGTGGACATTGTACGAGAACAGATAACGACGCCGAATGACTTCAGGCCCTACACAATATAATTTAGTGTGTTCGATTACCCGAGTTACCGAACGGAAGCGACATGACGGAACGTTCTTGCAGAGACCCATTACTTAGCTGGGCGACGCGAGACTATGGTCTCTGGTGGAGTAGAAGGTTGATGATATGAACCTGGATAGAGTGCAGAAAATGTTGATAGATTCACATTTGAGAAAATTGGCTGAATTACTCACAACAACTGAGGCAGCCCGTTATAGAGAGCTTTCGCCAACGCGAAGGGGTGCCCTCCTAACAATTCATTGAAGTCAAGGGCGCTTCTCGGTCTGGATACATCATACGGATTTGAGAAATGTTCCAATACCACAAGACTAGCATTAGACACTTATGCAATTAAAGGTTCTTGAAAAGTCCATCGTTCCGACATAGGTTGCTATCGTATGCATCAATCTCGATATTTGTCCCAAACAGCTTACGATATGTTCATTTTCCCGTGGTAAACGAAAGATCTGGAGAGAAATCCGGCAACGTCAACGCCCAATCAACTCAACACATGCATCAAAGGCGTTTTTGTCTTATTATTAGATAGTAAAGACCATTGATTCTACAAAAGGCTGACTTTCTTTTACTTGATTCCCCCTTTCAGTTCAGGAACGTAGTACTTACACATTGTCTACCACTGCAAAGGCTCTTTGTGCTGAATAACAATGAGACAATGAAGCGAGTCTGCAAAGATCTACGTTACTTTCTGCGTATAAATGCAAATCGTTTCGTCTTCAGTCTAGAGCTTTCCAATCCAGTCCATCACATCAACGCAGGAACTCTCAATATCACCATTCAATTCCTGACCTCCAGCATTCCAGCACAATTTTCTTCACCACCATCTCCAAGCATCATCTGACCATCTAACCTAAAGAACAAAGCCCGACATTGCGATTGTCATCTCATTCATCCTCACAAGAATTCCGATCATCATGTGTCTTATCCTCCAGCCAACCTCCCAATGCAAGGTGTGTCTCCAACTCACCCGACTCGAAGACGTAAACCAATTCTGCGCCAACACCGTCAACATCCCTAGCGGCACTGACTGGGCCAACATCTCACCTTCCATCCTAGGCTCCTGCGGCACCCTAAAGCTGACGAGAGTCCAACGTCTTGCTCAGTTCGTCTGCGAACACTGCCGCTGGTCGGCAGAACAGGCAGCCAATGACTTTTACGAGTTCCTCTATCCGTCCCCGCACAAGTACTTTGGAGAATCGGCCCACGGCTTCGCTGAAGAGTTCTTGAGCCGTCCGAGTGCGCCTTCTCCCGGGAAGCAACGTCCGTTTCCCCGGAATAACAAGGGTAAGTCTTACAGCTTGCCTCTTCTAGCCATGACCGCAATCTCGATACTCCCGATCCCAGCTTGGTCGGTTTCGCCCCAGTCTGAGGCGTCGTCTGAGGCATCAGTTGCCACGACGCACTTGAATCACCGCTCAACTCTGGACCCGCCGGCGAGATCCAAGTATGAGTTCCACTCTTCATCAAGTGTGTATTCATGTACTAGTGAGTCAAGCGATGAAGACAGTCTGGAGGATAATCAGAACGACAGCCGATGCCTTCGATGGGCCAATTCGGTAGACCTTATGAACAGCAAACAACAGCCACCACCTCTGAACATGCTGATCGATCAGACCCAGAACCTTCCGGATACCCCCAAGTCCGCCAAGCAACTCCGGGTCGTATCATCTTGGGGCGCGAGGGCCGCTCACAACCCCGAAGAAGACCCCTGGTGGCTACCCGAGACCTGGGGTGCCATACAGGACCTCACCGACGATCTTGTCGAATATCTCAGCAAGGCTGAGCTTATTAGCACCTTTCACGGCCACAGTGTTCACGTCTCTCGCAACGAAAACGATACAAGTGCCTGGGACGAGAGCCTCACCGTCATCATCGTGACGCCTGGAGGAACAAGAGCCCGTATCATGACTGGGGAAGTGTATCAGCAGGGCGTAAGCCTGGCGGGCCTCCGCATGATTGATCGGGCTCGGTACCAGCACATCTCCAAGAAGGAGAAGAAGCATATGGAAAAGGCGGGACTCGGCTGCATCTTCTACCCGTGTAGAGTCGCGAGTTGTCCGCTTTCTCATAAGAAAGATCAGCATCAGCCGTGGCCTTCGAATGGCGAGAGCTTGCTTGCTGGCTTAGAAAGGGGATACCGGATGCGGAAGAACTGGAAGTCTCGGGCTACTATTTCTGCCTCTATGGCGCCGACGCTGACTCCTCGTCAGTATTCATCCCCGTCCCCTGTTCGAGGTCGATCGCTTGTTGTTGATGGGGGACTTTCCCGCCGTCGACCGGCTCCGCTGGATCTGACAAGGACAAAAGAAGTGAGATTCACTGATGCAGCAGATGTTACTGAATCGACCTGGTCCCGTGGAGATGTGACGCCTCATCCGAGCAGTCTTCAGACAGCAATCTCAGATGAGGAGGAGGAGGGTCCCCTCAAGACGCCTGACTGGTTCGAACCTCTCATGAATACACCACTCAAGGTGAAAGGCGATATGATGGTGAAGTACGGGGGTAGAGCTGGTAGAGTTCGACCCCAGAACTACGACTTGAACCCGGCTAGCGAGAGCAATGAATCATCACTTCCACATGGTCGTTCCGAGACAAGTCGACAGCAGATTCCCCAGACTCGGGGTGCCTCAATCTTTGGGCAAGTATACAACGCCAGAAGGGCTGCGGCTGATTCATCATGCGACGACACCTCCAAGTTGCGTGCCCTACCCATGCTCTGAATCAGTCATGGATTTCAAGCCCTGATGAGGATGATACTGACACCTGTAGTCCATCATCTCGGTAGGTAAGTGGTTGGGGGCGGTTATTGACGTTTGTGGAGTATGAGCTGCGTACGGGTGTCAAGGACGATAGTTACACGAGAATCCATGGATTTCTATAGTTGGGCTAGAATTACTATATGATTCAATAGACCACTCGTTTTAAATCTCACGCTACTGGACCCTTCGGTCAACTGTTTTAACCCTGATTCAGACTAACGATGCTGTATGTGGTCCTAAGCCATAGAATGGTTCTAACCTGGCGCCGGATTAAGGCTGATCGGCATCTTGCTTTCTCTAACCCGCCCATTTCCTCAGAGCAAAACCCCCCTCTCCGCCTTTATCATTGACGCAAGTAGGTGTCAATTTGATTGCCGAGAAGAATAGAGGTGTGTATGTGGTTCCTAAAATATTAAATGTTTAGCAGGTTTACATCTCTTCACCGCAACTACTACGTACTGTTTTTCAACACGAATATCCGTGACAATACCGTTACGAGCTGCCTCCATATTGGTGTTCGAAAACGATGGAGATAATTCACGTTTCGTGTGGAAAAAAGACGCTCTTCTCCAGGTTCACATCCTCTTCTTGCTCGTACACTTGAGTGGGCCAAACTTGTTCCTGGTGGCCTCCCACCACGCGGCACCGACCATACCCTCGTTGCAAATCCCCACCGTCGCGAAGCGCCAGGTCATGATGCCCTCCCACTTGTTCTCGCAGCCGGAGTCCGGGCTCGGGGCGCATACCGGGAATTTCTTGAGGTTGTCCCAGAGACCGCCGCAGATGTCGGGGATCTTGTCGACGTCGGGGACCATGGCGTGGATCATCCACTTGCGGTTGAGGTTCATCATCTTGAAGTAGTTGCCCGTGCAGGTGGGTTGACCTTGCTTTAATACCTGCGTCTGTTGCCCCAGCACGCTGGTGATGGAGAGGGCTATGGCGAGGACGGCTGTTGCGGAGAACTTCATGTTTGATGGTTGTTGTTGTAGGTCTTGAAATCTTGTGGATGGATGCGATAAGTCGTCTTCAGATGGTTGTGTCTGAAATGTGGTATTTGATTTTTCTTTCTTGAACGGAATAAGAAAGAGAATTTCAAAAGCTGACCGCTGTCCTGGCATTTGTGTCATTAAGTCTATCCAGAGAGGTATCACCGACTGCTTCCAAAGTCGAGTGTGGGACGCGGCTGGCTTTCTTTGGATCTTGGGTCAACCACAGAAAACCCTTCGCCACAAACCTTGTGTGCTGGCTCGCCTCCATCTCTGGCCTGACCTTGATGGGGCATCTCATGTTTCTTTTCGTGACATAAATGCATCTCGGCGTTCTTCTCTGCGCCTAGAGCCTGTCTAACTCTCCTCCATGATCACCAAGTGTAAGACAGCGTTCAGCTCAAGATCCTCTGACATTCAAGTTCTCACGATATTGAAATATTGATCGCAGAAACAAGGAAGAAGACCTTTCACCAACTACAAACCCATACTAGATTTTGCAGGAACCAAACATGAAAGCTATCGTTCTACTTGTTTCTCCACCATAGCCCGTACAAACTGAAACTTAAGTCTCAGGGTAGCAACGAGAAAATTTACCCACCTCATCTGTATCACGTTTTCTCTGCGCAGACACGTCTGCAACGCTTGCCGGCTCTTCAGGAACAGTTTGTGGCCTTAGAAAACGGGACTATCAACTCAGAATGGCAAAAATGCAAAAGATTGGGCCCTAACCAGGATTCGAACCTGGGACCTCTCCCAGATAGGTGATTCCGAAGATGTACCCTAAGGGAGAATCATACCGCTAGACCATCAGGGCTGCTGAGTCATTGAAGACTCGTGGTGTGATGCTCAGGGCCCCAGGGCGAGACCCTATGAAGGCGAGGAGCTCCTCTGGTGGGAAAATTGGTGATTGCAAGAGTGGTGCTGTGGCGGTGGTGGCTGGTGCGCGAGGGCGGGTGTATTTGTGCGCGTCTATAGGCCCGGCGGTGCACATGACTCTCTCTATGGTCAAGGTAGACGGTTGGTTGCTCTCGCGAAAGTAGCGCTTCATTGCTTTGGGGCCCATGGGTGCCGTGGCAGCATCAACTGCCAATTCGCCCTTCATTAAAGCGTTGTCCCGTGCTTGATAGCGGTGACACCAAATTCGTGTGCACGTCAAGTGCATTGGGCGGCGCCTCGCCCCCTTTCCTAGGGGAAGACAATGGTGAATACTCTTTGGTTGATCTGGCAGATCAGTCGACAAGTCAGATCGAATCTCGGTCGAGTCCTCGACGGCATGCCCAAAGTTGTCCCAAAGGGTGAATGATCTTCAGGAACAATTGTTGTAGGCACATTCCACCTGCCTCCCTGGGCAACCACGCGGGCCAAGCACCAAAGAGAAACAATAAAAAGGGAAGACTATTCTTAGAGGCAAACAACCTAGGTCCCTCCGGGTAATGCCACATGGGCGCGCATTTGGTCCGGGTGCGGCTCCCCCTTCTCTGGCGCCGTCCGGACTCTACTGCGTACACAGCCGCAAGCCAAGCCCCCAGGAGAAAGATCGACTCGTCCGAACTTGTTGTCTTTCGCGGTAAACAGCGATAAGCTCCGAACCCCCAAGGCCATCCAAGAAACACCGTTTTGACGGGCTCCCTCCCGCACATGTCTATACCTACGCTCTTAGTGCCCTGAATGCCTGATTAACAGCTGGCCCTGCAGTAGCAGAAGCAGCCAGCCTGCAGGCCATCGCTGGACCGGCGGTAGCTCCATCTGCCCTCAGTCCTGACGAGGCCTATGACGCGTTCAGGATTGCCACTTGCCCGCTGGCCTCTGCTGCCAGCACTGCCCCAGTGGAGAAACGGAACAGAAGGAATCGCAGATTCGCACTGCACAGAAAAGGCTCTTCCTTGGACTCAGTCCGAGAGGGGAGGGAGAAGGGGGGAGGGATTTCGGACAGCGACCAGGTTGAATCGTGATTATGTTCCCACCTGGTGGGCCGGGTCGCCGTATCCGTTACGCTGAGCGGCTTGAACGGGCTTCCGCTGGGTTTAGCTGGGAAGATCCAGACCCCATCGGTTCCTGGCACTCCCACTTTCAACCACCCCGGCGGCGTACGGGCCGTTGTGCGGCAGCGGCACTGGGATCGGAACTTGGGAGAAGAAAGATGGGACGCCGTGAGTACGAAGTCTCTAATGAGCTGTGTTGCACTGCCGAGGAAACATCCTGCGAATATTGGAAGAGCAATATGGTAAGCGAAGGGAGGTGAAGGGGAAGAACTCAGGGAGAGATGGAATGATGCTCCATTGGCACAATGCATAGCAAAACCCAGCCAGGCGCCTCGGTCATCTTGCCTGTTATCCTGACTTTGCTCTTCTTGAATGGTATGTGTCCATATCCGTACAGGCAATCTCCAATCCCTCACTTCACAAATGCTGTGATGTTGTCTCCATCAGGCTGTCTCCATCGGATGATCTTGACGATTGAATGCGTCTATGCTGCATTTCGATGCTCCCAGATATCGAGTCGTCAACCCTCTTCCGAGAGGCTTGCAAATAAGACCAGAACACAACTGAGGGGTTTTCGGGTGCCGAACTTTGCATGCTGACAGCAGGTTGAAGGACGAATAGGACGTCGACGAAGGGGTATTGCGACTATAGGGCTTGGATATGCAACGTCATGGAAGGCAAGCAGTGACGACTGTCTCTGAAGTTCGGGGGCGTCAACTCGCCTGTTCATGAGCATTTGGGTGAGAGATTTAACTTTATGCACTCGGACGCCTCCACCGGATCTCCACCAGGGAAAGTCTCTGCTTTGGTCGGAGTCATGGAGAGAAATTGAGAAAAGCAAGAAACGGTGACCTGGAGTTGGTACCCCTCTAGACTTCTTATCACGTCTGGAAGGGTTCGAGAAACCTGAATCCGGTCCAGCGGACAGCAAAACACAGGTAAGCAAGGCAGAACTTTGTGCGATTCTGCAGGTCGCTTGTGGACATGTGGACGGGCAGCGTCGATCTTCCCGTCATAGCTTGTGCTTCTCTTGAGTGTCCCGTCGTGCAAAGTTGGATGGTGGCACTTTGTGGGTGCCATGTTTGTGGTCCACCGATCAAGTCCAAGATTTCGTGTTCCGGTTCCAGGTCGAGGTCCAGGTTCCAGGCCCAGGCGCTGGAGCTAAGTTGACTGTTCCTGACATGGCGGCAAGCCTCTTCCCCTCTCTCACGCAGCCAGAAACCTAACGTGCGGGTGTGCCTGGCCGGCGCGCTTTTCCTGCCGGCATTTGTTGGTGTGGGATCCATGGGGCATACAGAAAAGAAGGGGACTTTCACTCGACTCGAGAAAGACACTGATGCGTTGTCCAACAGCAACGGGATGTTTTCATCCCAATGTGTGTGTGATGTGGCTTTTAGGCGCTGAATATCCGCATCACCCCAAGACGAGATGGAAATACTTTTGATGACGATCCATCAAACCAAACAAACCCAAGCTTTAGTATCTCATCTTCCCAGTCGATAATCACCCATTGGCAGGTCCGCCGTGTAACGGTCTAGTGATGCTTGGCTTCTGGTTGGCTTGTGAATGGAATGTTACTGCGACCTTGAGGAGGGATTGGCTTGGACTCGAACCTGGGACCAAGCTTTGGCTGGCCGTGGCCCTTTTGGAATTGGCGTGCGGTGAAATTACCTTCCCCACCCCCTTTTCCCGCATCACCGTCCAATCCTGCCCTGGCGCCGGCGGTGCACCATGATCCATCCATGGCCCATTTCCCTCCACCATCCGACTTACCCATGTCTCCCTACTGGTTCCTGGCTCCCACACGTCAAGAGGGAGGTGTGTGTGTCTGTGTGCGTGTGCCTGAGTTGGCAGAGCCAAGCTGGCAAGCAGCGAGAGAAACAGAGATTGTTCCTGGCCCGGCCTGTCTGGCCCTGGAACCAGCGATGCCCCTCTCCACATCGCCTAGCCCTCTCGGTCATCACTTCTGGACCTTTACCCGTTTTGGTGTCTGTTCCTGGCTAAGCAGGGTTGTTGACGGGTTGTGATGGGCTGTTGATGGTGGATGATAGAGCAGAACGCGATGTCTTGGTGACGACGCCCCTGTCAACACACCAAGTTCCCCCAGTTTGACAATGTCTCTTGCTAACACGCCTCGCAGAAGGGCGCTTCGAGTGAGATTATTTCCATCCCTTCAAAATGGCTCTCATCTCCCTCCCTTTTCTGGCACATCCCGGTTTCTGGTTTTTTTGACACCACCACTCTCTCTTCAAACCATCGTCCAAATCCGCGAGTTATCTTGATAACCCGCTGTCACTCTTTTCCGGACGGGTCAAGCAAACAAAAACACAACGTTTAGCATTCTTAACCACCAACGAGTTTTACGAATCTCTCCACGATCTCCCGATAGTTCAAGATGCACTTCACCTCTGCCGTCGTCCTCGCGGCCGCCTTCGCCGGCGTGTCTGCCCACCCTTCTGCCCACAACCACCAGAAGTTCCACGAGCGCCGCAGCGCTGACGCCGTCGAGGAGCGCGATCTGACCTTCATCAAGAACATCCTCCCCTCCACGACTCCCTCTTCCACCTCTGCCGCCCCCGCCGCTACCTCTGCCGCTTCCACCGGCGGTGTCTACACCCCCTTCTGCAGCGGCTCCAACAGCAAGCGCGCCACCATCGCCGAGATCGCCTACTCTGGCAACACCGGCAGCGCGGACAACTGGGGCTGCAACATGCAGATCGTCAACGACGCCAGCGTCTCCCTCTACAACTACACCACTACCTTCACCGCGAGCGATGCCGACTACTCTTGCTCGTGCTTCAACAAGATCGGCCCTAAGGGCCTGATCGACGGCTGCTGGTTCGCCGCGATTACTTTCACCGTCAAGGAGGGTCAGTCCAAGAACGTCGCCTTCGACGCCGACTCCCAGGGCTCATGCGCCTGCGGCTCCGGCTCCACGGTCCCCAAGACCCCCATCGGCCAGTTCGCTGGCACCTGGCTCGAGTTCGACTGGGGCTCCACCCCCAACGGCGGCAACTCCGGTGCCGACGCCTCCGTCCTCGTCGCTGGCTCCCAGAGCATGGCTTACTTCGGCATGAAGGTCGCCGCCAACGGCAAGACCTGCTCCTGGGTCAAGTCTGACGGCACCAACGAGGGTGCCTACATGCCCGGTATGGAGGCTGAGGATGGTGTCGGCTGCAAGGGCTACTACAAGGGCCACCTGGACGTCACTCTCGGCGACAAGTTCACCGCGTAAGAAAGGTTCATCCTTTTCTTTCCGCCTGGTCCAGTCTTCTTCCCTTGCCTGGGGTGAGTTTTTCGTCGGGGAAAGGGGGTCATCTCACACAAAACCCACGCAAAAAACCTCGCCACGATGACGAAGCCCAGTAATGGATGTTTTCCTTAATCTTCAGAGCTTCTTGACGGCGCATGGGATACCTCTTTTCTTTCGGGGCACATATTTTGGATGGTGCGGCCTATTTGCCATTGCCCCTCGTGCCCACCACCAGCTTTTTCTGCTTTGGACATTTGTGCAGATTTCTCGGGATATGGGAAAAAGCGTTAACGAACAAGACGGTTGGTTTAAAGGGACGCCTTGTTCAACGGAACGGTTACATAAATCTAGTCCCCCTACCTACCCACACATATACCTAGTGTCTGCTGCTTAATGCGACATCAAAAAACTCATCCTTCACCACCTACTTAAGCTTGCCTCCCCATCTGTGCTCTGCGTTCATGTATCGTTCATCCCGTCATTCGTCTCAAATTTGATTAGCAGTGGGCTTGCCGTGTCTAGCGAGGCACAGCTGGGGATCAAGCTTCAGAACCGTTTCATCCACGACATGGGATGTCGGCAATGCTTGTACGACCCGATCGATTCACTGTTTTCATCACCTGAGTCATTTATCTGGCTGTCTCTCAAATCTAATGACAAGCCAGAAGCAGCCTCTCATACCAGTAGGGTTCTCAAGTCCATGGACCTAATGTTGATGTATACAAGGCATACGGCATGCTTTTTGAGTGCTTTACATTCCGTTTTGTCTACCCCGCCGCCCCCAACAGCAAAGAAAACAACCCCACCCCTCATATTCAGTGGCAGTCGCAGTCACATGCAGCTTTTAACCCACCGAGAAGCGTATTCCTTGCCAAGAATTTCATCTGCATACATTGAGGCTCTCATCTACGGTAACTAGCTGGAGTGGTTGGGATCACTGAGGCTTCCTTCCCTGTTCTGATATTATCATCAACGATAGAGACCATGGTCACCCCCATGACAGCGTTATTAGCGGACTCTGTGAGCAGTATCTTATTGGTACCGAATCTTGACTTAGCATCAAACTCAGGACTCTTCTTGTGGCTGTTGTCAGTGATATGAGTGAGGTTCCTATGTAAGGAAATCTTAGAATGAGTCTTCTCTTTCCCATCCGTAGCCGCTACGGTTTCCCGCACGTGCCCCACTTTGGTTCCGTGGTGGTGCCACACTGAACGACTTTTGCCGCTGAGTTAATTTTTGGTTCGACATCATCTCATCCAGCAGTGTAATTCAACAACTCATACTCATCACCACTAGCACAACGAAAGCTCTGCATGGTGCTCAAACTTACGCAATGAACGAACTTTCGATTCAGCCCTCTGGAATCTTCTGGCAAGACGATTATATTACAGCCGAGCATGAGGAAAAGTTAGTACACATTTTTCGCAACGAGCTATCATGGCCAGACCGATCTGGGCGACTGTCTCTCCACTACGGCTACACCTTCGACTACAAAACATTCGGCGTGGATCCCAACGTTCCCTTCAGCCCTTTCCCGGACTGGCTGGAGCCGTTGATTCCTACACGCGAAGGCAGACCACCGGACCAAGTTTGCCTGCAACACTACCCACCCGGCGCCGGCATCCCGCCCCATGTCGATACTCATTCCGCATATGATCAGCTATATGCGCTATCTCTAGGATCGCCCGTCATGATGCAATTCGCCTTGCCACCAGACGATGGCGAGGAAGGAAGGATGGTGGAAGTAGATCTTACCCCGAGGAGCATGTTGCAGATGTCGGGAGACTCAAGACTGCATTGGAAGCACGGAATCAGGAAACGGAAAACGGACACGTTGCCTGATGGAACGGTGCGGAAGAGAGAAGATCGGTGGAGTATCACGTATCGGTGGATCAGGGAGCCGGCCGTATGCGGCTGTGGGAACGCAAAGCTCTGCGACACTGCGCAAAGAGAACTAGGCATTGAGAAGGAGTATCGTTGGAAGAAAGGCGACGAGGATATCGTAGCGGGCGAGGAATAGAAGATAGGAACCAAGGCTTCTTGAAATGATTGGAATGGTACTGACACGGAGTATTGGTGAAACAGAAATAGAAAGAGGGGTTGTACATGTCTTCACTTGTTCATGTGTCGTACGCTAAAGACAGCAGATGATACGCAGTCTATTGCTTTTGAGCTATGGAAGTTTGCAACCATACCCTCTACGCTAGTGAGCACTCTACCATGGTAGTGATCGTGCGAAATTGGAAGAACCGGCTGATTTTCAGACCTGCTTTTCGAAGAATCAACTCGAGCTCTGGCACCGATCTTTCCTTGCCGCCGAAGAAGAACAGAGTATTCCATGTCATCAAGTTGGCAAGGTCCGGAAGCCTTGACTGTTGATGAGGTGTCAGAGTAGACGGGGCCGTATTCTGATTACTGACAATGAACGGAGTCGAGTTCCATATCTCGTTAATCACCATCCGTGAGCCCAGAGTTCTTTTCATGGAATTCGCAACGTTGGTAAGTATCTTGACAGCGTCTTCATCATCATACTCGCGCCTGAAATTAGTCAGTATGTCGTAGCGGGGCGATTTATACGCAATTCGGAAGCCACTAGTACTCACAGAACTCCTCTGAGGTACCATATGTCACCCTCTGATGCGTTCTCTTCGAAGTAGTCTTGTATGACACATTCGACTTTTCCTTCCGCAGTCTTTTGTGCAATATCCTCGGGCAGGTTCTGTTTGGGACGTCAGTACCGGCTTACAGTCTTAGACCACGCGCAACTCACGGTCTTCAAGCTCTCGATGGCCGGCTGAAGGTCCTGGAAAGTCCAATGAAGCTCCGGATTGTTCCTCATTATGTCAAATCCGCTGTCACCTGGACCGCACCCGACATCAACAACTCGAGCTTTGGGGTTCTCATGCCAGGGGTAGTCATTGAGAAGCGCTGGCCTAGTTGTCCTCTATAACAAACGTGTTGATAAGCCAGAGTCAAATTTAACGGCATGTATACCGGAGCACACTTACGTTGAGCCATGGTACAACACCCTTGATCACCTTAAGCGCAGCCCTAGAGTTTTCGGGATGACCAATGTGCTCGAAGAAAGTTTCGCCATTCTGTGCTACTGTGAAACAGAATGGAGCATCTGTGGCTAGAAAAGAGTCTTTGGTCTTGGTATCTGTCATATGAGACAGCAGACCTGCAGAGCTCCTTAAGCCCTCGTCCGCTCTTCGCTTGTTAGACCACTGATAATGGACACCCAGGACCGTGATTGGAGCTTACAAAAGGGACAGAAATAGAGCAGCACTTCCTTCCTTTTCGAGAGTCTTACTATGCCGCGTATTGCTGAAAACACCTGGATGCTTTTCTTGGTAGATGTACTCGGTAGCCAAAGTTCTCAAGACCCTTCCTAGAATGATAATTAGTGGGCTTTGGACGTTAGAAGCGGCGTAATACAGGCTGCTTGTGTACCTAGTTTCTGTTCATTGACATTCAGTCGGCTAGCTAAATCCTCGAGCTTCGCATCGCCCCCAAGATCTTTGATCACATCTGTGATACCAAGGGACACTGCCACATTGAGTGCATTCGTCCGCGCTGGTTGTAAACCCATCTCAAGCAGCTTGATGTGGTTGGGCGTGACCGCTGCATCGAGAGCGCGAACGTCAACGCGAATCTTCTCAATAGCCTCAAATGCTTGCCAAGATATCAGATGTTCGGGGTCATCGAACTTTGTAAAGGCTTCCGGGTCCCATACTTGGGGGGTTCCTAGATCGTGTTGTCGGACTTCATGTTCGAGAACAGCAATATTGTCCCGCAAAGATTGAAGGAGAATTTGGAGGAAGGACATGATGAATACGTGGGTTCTTTCGACACTAAGTGAGTCGATATGTTTGCAATAGCACGGAAGCTCAAACGCATTTCGAACAGGCCGACGACACCATCTATTGATGTATTCAAGGCCCTCCTATGCATGTGGAGGGGGCGAACCGATGCCTTGTGGGGTAAGCCGCCTACCCCACAAGGCATGTAAGTCGACGACTTTGGATGACCTGTTTGAAGATGGTTTAAAGCAACATCGAAGGGCCACTCTGAAAGTAAGTCGTTGTCAAATCCCAATCATTACTTGTTCTCAACTTTGTTCTCAACTCCTCTTCATCAATATTAACTTTCCCCGAAATCCCTCTTCATGTCTCATTCCCTGAAAGTCACGATAGTCGGCGCAGGCCTTGGAGGTCTGGCATGCGGCATTGCGTGCAGTCGTCAAGGCTATGATGTCTTGATAGTTGATCAACTGAAAGAATTCCTGCGCCTTGGTGATAGTATCGGCTTTGGCTCGAACTCGGCAAGGCTTCTTTATCGCTGGGGAGTCGGGTCCAGAATGGAGCCAATCGCAAGTCAGAGTACCGAGATGCGCATCTATAACTTCGATTCTTCCGACAAAGTCCTTGGCATCGACGACCAAATTGGGAAGTCCGTGGAGAATTACGGATGCCGCCAAATCATCGGTCACAGAGGCGACTTCCACCTCATCATGAAGGACTTCGCTCTCGAACAGGGCGTCAAAATCCGGCTTGGCGAGCGAGTCGAAGTCTACGATCCCAGTCAACCTAGCATAACCCTTTCCTCAGGAGAAATAATTCAATCAGATGTCGTCATCATCGCGGACGGCGTCAGAAGCAAGGGACGCACGACTGTGCTGGGTTATGAAGATAAACCTCAGGCAAGCGGATACGCCATCTACCGATCATTCATGAGCGGTGACCTCCTTCGCGACGACCCTTTGACCAGTAAATTCCTCAGAGATGGTGATTCAATCCGGTTGTTCCTGGCCAAGGACTCTCATGGGTTCATTAGCACTCTGCAGGGTGGGAAAAGAGATCAATGCGGTCTTGACTCACAAAGACGTTGGGGACGTCGCGGAGAGTTGGACTAAAGAGGCCACCAAAGATGATGTATTGGCATGTCTAGAAGGATGGGATCCTGCTGTCAGAAGAGTGTGGGAAAAGATGCCTTCAGTCATTGACTGGAAGCTCGTGTACCGCCCTTGCCTCGACAAATGGGTTGCAGACTCCGGGCTAATTACTTTGATGGGCGATGCTGCACATCCGTTTCTACCCACTTCGACTCAAGGTGCTAGTCAAGCCATCGAAGACGGAGCCACCATAGCCAAATGTCTCTCAAAATGTGCAGGCAATATCCCCCTAGCCTTGCATACCTACTTCGAAATCCGACACGACTACGTTGCCGAAGCACAGGCGACTGGGATCAAGCAGAGAGAAATATGGCACAACTTGCATGATGAGGACAGCAAAGCTTTCAAGAAGGAATTCGACATCAACGCCACCATGATGCAGAATCTGTATCTTTGGAAAAACGATGCTGAAAAATTGGTCGATGAGAAGTGGGATGAGGTGTCGGAAATTGTCAAGCAGAGGCTTAGTGTTAACAGTGGTTGAAAGGCGCGGACACGAAAAGACTTTAGATCAATAGTCATCGCAGACAAGACCTTGTATCAAATATCCAAAACGTAGCACCTGCTATGATGATATGATATTATTTCAAATAACAGTCCACCTAAGATTCATTCATAGGTTAAGTAAACTCGGGAAAATAACACTGTCAAACTCATCGCCAACAGACTTGGATTTCGACTTGACCCACGCAGAGGGATCAGGACTGGCCGCATTCCGGTCAAACCGTGCAAACACACTGCTGCAAAGCCAAGACATTAGCGACAAGCACTTTTCCACGCTTCGTACAACATACGAACAGCGGCACTTAGGAAAGCGCCCCATCTACGGATACACCTGTTGAGTCAGGCCTGAATCAGCACCGCCTACCCCGGGTCCTAGCGTCACGGATCCCCGCAACTCCATGTCCGTTCCTTCAATTGCCGAAAGCGCTGAAGACAACTTCCATCTTTCTTGATTCGCCAGTAATATCCCTACTTGCTCACCGCATCTGGGAGAAGAGACGAGGACGACAGAACAGACGGCATAGAGGCTATATTAGCGGAAATGAGTCGACAACGAGACAACGCCCGTTCGTCTCCACGAGAGACGAAGAAGTCGGCCTTTAGGCGGGGAGTTAGAAGCTGTGAGCACCCGTCCACCTCTCTTGATGACGTAAGAGTAACTTTCTGATACACCCTGAACATGAAGCAAGTGAAGATGGCCAAGCACAGCCGGGGCGCCCGCGTCCACATACGTGCACCTATTGCCAGAAAACATTTATCAGGGCGGAGCATCTCATACGACACGTTGCGTCACGTAAGTCTACTGGTCACCTCGTCCATCGGATCTTTCAGCTGATTAAATTGGGCCAGATGAGAACCGAAAGCCTTTCAAATGTCTGACCTGCGGCGCTAGTTTTGGCAGGACAGATGTTCTACGTCGACATCAAAAGAAGTGCCCAGGGAAGCCTGTTCAAAGTTTACCGACATCACAACATGAAGAGGGCTACACTCAGGCCTGTGCAGAACATGATCCTCGAAAGTCACTAGACAATATTTTGATGTAGGGCGAGAAGTTAATTTGAGGTCCTGGTCATGAATACCTTACTTACATCGAACTCTCAGGTTAGAAGGGCGTTGCCAGCCAGTTGATCAGACTGAACCACAAAGAGATCTCAATGATGTGGAAAATTCGGGTGTGACCACTGGTCTCATTGACAGCCAAACAGACGAGATCAGTACTGCGAACCTGGCTGTTCCTCAGTGCGGTGGATCCAGTGATGATTCTATCGTTGTTCGCCAATCAGGAGATGAAGATACAGCCGAGCCTGATTTGAGCTCGCCCCAATCGAATGTAGATCAGAGTGCTACAATAAGCAAGGCCGATCTTGCTCTGGATATCACTATCGCCGCTCAGCAAGTTGACGAAACAGGTCGACTCAGCCAAGAAGCCTCTCTAGAGAACACTGAATCCACCACATCTGAGAACAATCCTGGCTCGGGGGCACAGCATGTCAATCTCTCCGACTTTCTGGTGCTCGGAGACTCATTCATATCTGAGATCCACCCAGACGATTTCGATTTGAGGGGCGTCACAGACTTGATGTTTGACTTCAATACCAACACCATCATCTCACCCCCTTCTGCAGAGACATGCATCCTCTTAGATCCAAGTCGACGTGTAAGACCAGTCTCGCTATTCTTCGACGCTCCCGAAAGCCTACCTCAGTACCAATCTTCCTATGACACACCTCATCTGTTCAGTTGCTCGGATGACGATGCCATTGCAGTCAACAACGCTTTCGCCAGGGCAAAGGGCACTACAATTAGCACTTCAGACTCAATCTGTCTCAGTCGCAATCAGATTTCACGTTGGATCAACGCGTACTTCGAACACTTTGACATACATACGCCCATAGTGCATCGGCCGACTTTCATCCTTTCAACTACTCCAGGTAGGCAACATACGCAGTAGGCAGCGAAGAGGGTTGACTAACTAGTTGCGACACTATCTTGCAGCATCTTTGCTTTTGGGCATGCTGGCCATCGGTGGCTGCATTGTATCAGAGCATGGTCCTGCTTCTAAGGCCTATGAAGCTTCCTGCCATCTCCTAGCTCAGGTGCGTAGCTCAACCTTTATGTCTTTCATCCCTCTGTGCTCGGTTCTCATTCTGCCTCCAGTACGAGCAAGACCTCTTGCAAAGCTCTATCTCAGATTTGTGGCCAATACAGACTGCCCTATTGTGTATTCAGTTTGGGGCCTTTTCAGCCAACCCCCGGTATGCGCGACAAGCGCAACGACAGTTCTCGCTTGTAACAGATGTAAGTCAGGCGTCTTTGAACCACTGGCTTTGAAGTAATCTCACAGTCACCTTGTTCTGATGTTTTCAAGTTACTGCGCGCAGTAGAAGTTCAAGTTCGCGGAGTCCAGTCAACTCAGGACCCTGATTGGAAGGACTGGGTCTTCATAGAGACGTTAAGCAGGTCAGTGAGCGTCTGGTCCCCCACTGATGCAATACGATATTTAACTCCCTGCATTTATATGTACAGACTTGCAAGCTGGACTTGCATTCTGAATGCTGCCATATCGCTCCTCGACCCTGAATCAACATGTGTCGCCGCACCTCAAGTAACAGCAGAAATGATCGTCCCCTCAAACGACAGCCTCTGGCGAGCACCGTCAGCCGAAGAATGGGCCCACAACAAGGAATGGCAGGCGTACAAACCAGTCAATCTCGTCGAAACTTCGAGACGAGTTTTCACTGGCGAGTATCCCGCGGTAGCCATGAGCTCATTTGGACTTCTCACGTTGATTGGGGCTCTCGTGGCGAACATTTGTGCTAGAGAACGGTACTCTCCTGAAATGGCCCCCATCCTTGATCGTGAGTATTGTGCAAAGATAGAGAGGAGCCTTCAAGCCTGGGAGACTCTATGGCGCAGTCACCCTCACGCTGGAGGCTCGCAGAACATGAAGAGCGATCCCAAGATGACGGACTGTCTATGTCTGCTAAACTCTGCGTACCACCATCTTTACATGGGCCAGGAGCTCCAGATCCTGAAGAGAATCGCGAAAGAACCTCAATGTCATCTGGCAGTCCCCAATTTCCCCACTGAAAGGAAGGTTCTTGTTGTTATCAAGTACGCTATGACTTCTTGGTTGGCGGATACCGTAACAGGCATCGCTCATAGGCAGCGGAAGGCGGCATTCGAATTCGGTGGGCTTGGCCCAATGGTAGCATATGAGACTGGTAAGCAATCATGTTCCGGATCGTCATTTCAAGATTTGAATTGCTGATGGGTGACATGTTCGTCCTTTTTTCGCTTAGCGCTGATTATCTCGTGGTGGCTGAGTCTTCGGCAAAGTCTTCCATCACCACCTTCTGTCTCTGTCCTAGAGGGGGAGAGAGAAAGCTTGGAAGCCATCGGTCACTTGTTTCAAGACATTCTGAAGGAACTAGATGAGCAGTGCATTACGTCCGATGGAGACCTTTCGGATCTACGTTCCCGAGCCCTGTTCCACTACCAAGTGTTGTTGGGGCAGTGGGTGTGGCCGTGTGAGTACTTTTGTTTTCCCTATCTTTCTCGCTTATCTATTTGCTAAGCCACGCTGGACGCGTAGACACGAATGCCATGAACCACGCCCTGCAAGCCCTCGCATCTTGACTGTCCCAGGGAGAAGAAGCCTGATGTTTCGCGTTATGACGGCACGGCTCTCACGAAAAGCAATGGGGTAGCAGCTCAATTCGTGGAGTCGCAGAAAGACTATGATGTGGGGTCGCGGATGCATCCGTAGTGAAAGACACCTTGGACTGGGGATTGGTCCGCCCGACTGGTTCCTGAGCAAAAGTTCCCAACGGTTTCCATAACCATCATAAATACCCTTGCTGAAACATGGCGTGAAATGCATGAAATAGGTACCAGGTTCAGTTCACGAGCAATTTCGACGGATCGAAAAACGGAAACAATGAACGAATCAGCATCTTTGCTTGTCTCTCCATCCACCTGAGTTGGTCCGTAAGCGGACCGTCGAACTAACCTTGGGTGGTGGAAACACAAGGATCAAGCAACGGCTTCAGCTTGTCAGGGTGCCCTAGGTGCTGTGTTGACAGAACAAGCTTATTTTCGCAAGAGAAATCATCACTCTTCGTATCGAGAAGGCTGAATTGGGTGATAGAGAAGGCTGTCGAATAAGACATTCAGCTGGCCATGGGGAAACAATCGGATGATATCGATCTCAACACACCAGATCATCTCGTGGGCTGTGCTTCTAGCTTTCAGGTTACTGAATTCAGGTCATGCCCAGCATCAAGCTCCTGCCAGCATAGTCCAATTTGTGTATATATGGATTCTGCGACTTCAATGGTTCAAGTGAATGATATCTAAGCAGACAAGTCTTGTTATCATATCAATATAGTATTGCATCTATCACTCGAGTCTCATACTCTGGACATCTTCATTGTTCTACATCTTCACTCTTCGTGTAGAAGCAAATATCTTTTTCATTCGCGATGGCATACCCTGAGAATGTTGGCATCAAAGCCATGGAAATCTACGTCCCTGGACAGGTCCGCATCTCCTTCTACAAATTCATACATCATCTATCAGAGCTAAAATCAATCACTCCAGTGCTTGGACCAGTCTCTCTTTGAGCAGCACCAAGGCGTCTCAGCGGGTAAATACACCATTGGCTTGGGCCTCAAATACATGAACTTCTGCAACGACCGTGAGGGTAAGTCATCGCCCGTCCAGGGCACTATTACTTCGGCCAGGCTCTGGGTCTAGCATCCTCTACATCAGCGATAGCTACTGACTAGCTTAGATGCATCTTCCATGGCCCTCACTGCCATATCTTCGCTCATGCGAAAGTACGACATCAACCCCAACTCGATTGGCCGCCTCGAAGTTGGCACCGAATCCTTGGTTGATAAAGCTAAGTCTGTCAAGACAGTGCTGACCCAGCTCTTTGAGCCTGCCGGGAACACCAGCCTGGAAGGTATCGACACCATTAACGCATGCTACGGCGGCACGAGCGCCTTGTTCAACGCTGTCAACTGGGTCGAGTCCAGATCATGGGATGGCCGAAACGCTATCGTTGTTGCGTCAGACATTGCCTTGTACAACGAGCCCGCCTCTCGTCCCACGGGCGGTGCCGGTTGTGTCGCCATGCTCGTGGGCCCCAATGCGCTGCTTTCGATGGAGCCGGCGCTCAAGGGAACCTTCATGACCCATGCCTACGACTTTTACAAACCTGATCTCAAAGCAGAGTTCCCTCTGGTTAATGGACATGAGTCGCTTCGGTCGTACATGTCAGCACTGGACGGTTGCTACCAACGTCTTCGTGAGAAGGTAGAAGCAGCTAACCAACGCACGAACGGACTTGGGCCGAAAACTGATACTAACAAACTGCTGAACATATTCAACTACATGGCATTTCACACCCCCAACTGCAAGATTGTGAGCAAGTCGTATGGACGACTGTTGTACAACGACTTCCGACTGGATAGTGACAAGAGCCGATGGGAGGCGACGTTGACGGAAGAGCTCCGCGGGCTCAGCTACGAGGAGTCTTTGAAGAGCAAGGAACTTGAAAAGATCTTTGTCACCCAGTCCAAGGATCTCTTTAAAGCGAGAGTTGAGCCCTGCATTGCCGCTCCCACTTTATGCGGCAACATGTACACAGCTAGTCTGTACTGCTCTCTCATCAGCTTGATCAGCCACATCGATCTCAGAGACAGTGTCGGGAAGACTATCGGCATGTTCAGTGTAAGTCTTGTAATATTCATGGGCGAATATCTTGCTGACGAGAGACGTGACATTAGTATGGCAGCGGTATTGCCAGCACTCTCTATGGGCTCAAGATTACGGGAGATCTCAGCGAGATGGTCCAGAAGATTGATCTTATGAAGCGTCTCGAGCAACGTGAAATTTGTACGCCTGAGCAGTATGAAGAGGTGAGAGCGAATATAACCCTGGGTTTTTGCGAGCCGCTACTAAACATCAATTCGCAGGCCTGCTTTCTCAGGTTGAAGGCATATGGCGCCGAAAGCTATGAGCCTGCTGGAAGTATTGAAGTCATGGCTCCTGGAACGTACTACCTGCAGAGAGTTGACGATGCTTACCGCAGGTTCTACGCTGTGAAGCCGTGAACTCCCGCCTATGGTACCCTCAGCTCAGGTCTTGGTTTATAATAAGACTTTAGTAGTAGCTTGGTTTAAAGGAGGAGGACTCGGCTTAGAATATCAATGTAGATAGAATTCCAAAAGTTTCTCAGATAATTTCGATTAGGTGGCCTCTATATTCATGCTAGCTTCAGATTGCAAGCCTGAAATGCATTACCCTAAAGCGAACGTCAATGGAGCCGATGCCCACTACCCAGATTACCTAGCTTGGACTGCTTGTAGTGCTTAATTTAGGCCCCTTTCATCCACAGGCTTCCATCCGCATTTTGTAACTCGAAAGGAATCAGATGAAATAGAAGGACTAGGCTTGGGGACTACGCTAGATTGAGTCTGCTAGTCCTACGGTTTGGGGCTGCATCATTAGCAACTAACCCGCCGTCGACGCAGTAACTCTAATGGTCGATCTGAAGACAAAGATTCAAGGTAACCCGTCGGCTGCAAATTCAGGCCAAAGCACTTCATCTTCCCATAACAAACGGTCTTCCGAAGTTGTTCGAAGCTTATCCTAAGTGCTCACTTGAGCTGATCTTGCAGCTATTTGTGTAAGACTAGAACTTGAGATCTTTGACTCTCGCATTGGTAAGTTTCTTTGGTCCTTTCCAGATGTCCGGGCTTGATTCCGTATCTGATCTAGAGACATGCAGCCGCAATGCTTGTATACCGGCTGAAGTTAGTGAATAAGATAGATCTACATCTTTGGCTCAAGCTTAACTGAAGAGACGGATCATCCTTACGTTTCTTTCTTCGGCTCTTGTAGAGATCCCTTTGCCGTGGTGGTTCCCTAGGATTAATAGCCAAAGCCGGTCATGATAGCAGATGACTCGGCCATCATTGATCTGCTACCTCAGATAGGTTAAGTAGGACCCCAATGCAATCTGTCCTGTCTCGACCCCGGCTCTTCTGCCTTCAGGGTAAAATGTCTTCTCGGGCCCAATCTCGATGCCGAAACCCCTCCCAACTTCCGAGTCCCTCGAATCCGTCTCCCCCACTGGGTGGAGAAATCTTGTGCCTAGGAGATATCGAGCAGGCTACGCCGACGGCCATCTTCTCCAAGCCCCTACCCCCGCGCGACCTTTGGCTTGATCAATATGTCTCGTGTTAATTACCCCACCGTAGCCACGAAATAAGCTTTCTGGTGCCATTTGCTTACTCCATGCCGAATCAGCCGGGCCCATGCTACTGAGACGTCAACGTCGGTCCGTCGATATAGCATGCAACAGACCCATTATGGGGGTTTAACAAGGGCAGATAAACCGCTCGCACTTTGCAAATTCCTTCGCGAATAAGCTTTTCACATGCATTTCGTTGCAGTAAGGAACATGGTTTCTGTCTTATGAGCGGAGTTTTCCCGCCACGTAAGGTAGTATCCCAGAAACACCTTCACGTCGTCAAGCTGGTGGTCATTGCTGGAACTGGGGTTCTTTGCAAGTACTTCCTGTTCTAGTCCCTCCGAGCTGTTGAATGCAACATAGCCGGTGGGAGCGTTGACTATTGCAGTATCTCAGGCAAAGTCTCTCATCCGTGTTAGCCGCTACCAAGGACTCAGGGACGGGGGTTAGCCAAGTCCTGCAAGACGTAGACTATCTAGATAGTCGATTCATCAGCTGTTGCCCACCTTGAATGCAATCAACCAATTCTATTTAATCTCGCTCATGTCTAGATCGCAGTTTGCCCTTAGATCGATGCCTTGGACACAGTTGGCGTACAATGCTATCGCTTGAACACAAATCTCAACCCCGCAACTCAGTCCCAGAGAGACAAGGTATGGATTCTTTTCAATTCGAATGCCAAAGGTCATGCTTTGTGAATGTTTCTTCGTAAGAGTCTAATGACTTGTAATCAATTTCTTGGCTTGAGAACAACATTCCAGTGACCAGTTGCAAACTGCATAGTGATGTACTGGCGGAAGTCTATGTCTTGATCCGGAACTTCCAGCACATCGAATCTTTGTAGGAGATTGGCGGCAACCATTCTCATCTCGGCCCACGCAAAGCTTTATCGACTTTATCAGCATAGTTGCTCGACAATAACGAAAAGCATTGTACTAAGACTTACTTGATACCAATGCACGAATGCTTGCCTCCAGAAAAGGGGTAATACGCGTCCATACTGGAGGCTTCGTTAGTACGAAGATTTTATTATGGGAAGGAAACCATTGGGACTTACTCAGGTGCGGGTGCCCCGTCTCTCTTGTCTTCGGATAGCCACCTCTCGGGCCAGAACCGTACTGCCTGGGGCCAAAAGGCCTCGTTGCGGTGAAGATCGCGGTATGAAGCCGAAACGACTGTGTGAGGCGGTAGATCATAGCCACAGAGGTTGATCCACTGATTGCCAGTCCGGCGGCCCATCTCCGAAGCAATAGGATGCAAGCGGAGGTTCTCCTTGATGCAGGCCTCGAGGTACTCGTATTCCTCCTCGTTGCGAACCGATTTGCTGGTCACAATCTCGTCGTTGAAGCCCTTGGGCGGGAGAGAGGCGAAGAGCTTGGCGCGGACGTCGGGGTTACGGGCAAGCTCGAGAAAGAGACAGCCGATAGTGCCGGATGTTGTTTCGGAACCGGCAAGGAGGATCTCGGCCATTTGGTCGACAATGTCGCGGACAGACATGCTAGTGCCGGTGTCAGGCTTTTTGCCCTCTTCGATAAGGTGCTGGAGGAGGTCTCGGCGCTCAACGTCCGGAGTGCGCTTGCGTCGTTGGACTACGGCGTCGATTGCTGTGATCATCTCGGCGGGCCAGTCGAATTGCAGGTCGATTCCCAGGGCGCGGAAGAATTTCTTGACATACACAGTCTTTGTACAAGTAAGCACTGAGGGAATCAAGACATTTCGTCTGTAACAAATGATTGACTTGCCTGGTATCGCTTGCTGAGACCATCGAAAATGGAGCGAGGGATTGACTTCCAAATCTTCTCGTCAACTCCATCTTCGATTAAGCTATTGGGATTGGTCTGTCCGAACCCCTTGCCGAATGAACACTCTCCCATGCTGTTACTCAAGTAAGAAGCCGTGCAAGAGAAAGACCAAGATGGCTGCGGAAGTATTGGCTTACATGTCAAGGGCCACGTTGTGAAGGTCGTCCATTAAGTCGACCTCGATACCCTTTTTTGCATAGTGTACCGCATCCTCGTTGATCTGTGTCTGGTACTTGTTGAGCACGTCACGAACGGTGCTCTTGAAGAACATCTCAAGGTTGTCAATGTAGTTGACCGTAAAAGCAGGGAACAGGAAACGCTTGAGGCGCCTGTGCGGCTCTTGGCGACTTTTTCCAACGACGTTGAGTTAGGCTCACGTTGCAAGTGCACATTGTGGGCAGAAAAAAAGGGAACGACTTACATCTCGCCAAATAGTCCGGGACTGAATTTGTCTCTGGAAATTTCGGCATACATGGCAACTTTGGGAAGATCCGTCTTGACCAAGATCTGCTTCATGGCCTCCTTGTCAGAGATCCAGACCTGTCGGGGGCCGAGTCGGATAATCGGCCCATATTTGTTGTGGCTTCTCTCTACCAACTTCCAGATGGTTCCGGTTGAGAAGAGATAACGTAAATGCAATGTTGTGAGAGGAGCATACCAAGGCCCAGGAAGTTTTCTCAGGGGAGACTTGAGAGCTTTGATCTTCTGTTTGAGTTGAAGACCGGCGAGGACAACTACTAGGAAGTAGACGGCAAGTATGTAGGCCGACGCCATTGTGTCGCCGTTGTTGATCGTCTTGATCAGGGCAAGATGCTAGCGATGCTTTGTCAATGGTTGAATGACTGGTGGATGATGAGATGACAGGTCAGAGACAATAAGAGAACAGAGGGACATAACAATCTTTGACAGGAAGCGGGCGATGATCTTCTATGACATGAGACCCGGAGCCATCTCCTCGGGATGATATAAGACGAACACACATAAGTCTGCAGGAGCTATTTCGTGATCTAGACCCCCCGCTAGCCCCGGTGCTTCCTGCTGAGAAGTTGCGCAAGCCAACCCAGACCGGAGGTTACGGTACGTGGCTAGATTTGCACAACAGTCAGAGGCTCCTTTGAATTGCACGACTCAGTTCAGATGTACATGTAGCCATCGTCAGCATGCGAGGCTGTCGTGAATATGCTGCGTGCACTGTTTCAAGCTCTGTAAACTCTGTTATATTAGCTCGGATGATGGGAGCCCAGGGAGCTGGGCTTGCTGCGCTTTTCCTTCGGTCTGGGAACAAGCGAGTTCACCAACGTGGCACCCAAAAGACGACGCAAGCGCGAATCGGATGGTCCAGAATGGTACACACTCTCTCATTGACTGGGCTACTCCTTGGCTGGAAATCGCGTGTCATGCAAATTAAGCGGGAACATGGAGATAGGTTGCACTCGATCCCCAAATCTGATGTGCTTGGTATAAACTCTGTTCAAGTGTAATCCCATATTACTCATTTCCAGTTATCTCGCGGTACTTCCTTTCCTATTCAGGAAACCATTTGGCAAGGTCGCCTATTGCCCAAAAGTACTCATTGACTTTAACGCGTCTGTCATCACGAGAACCTAAAATACGAACATCTCACATCATGGTGAACAACAAGACTGTGCCTTATTCACGGTGGAGATGCAGTTTCAAAAGAATTCTGAGCCTTGGCCCTGCCATTTGGTCTAGAACTTTTGGTCTATTTCCCGTTGTCTCTAAACTCCATACGTGCTTCCGCTCTATCAAGCTTTGACTCTGCGGTCTTTGAGTCTAAAAATGTCTATGTCGTCTATGTCTCTTTATGTCCGTCTAAAGAAAACCATGTTGCATTTTGTACAGCAACCACCCTCTATTTGGCCCATCTCATGGCGCCGGGGCAGTTGGGGTCGTTCTCGACATACTTGAGAGTGCCGAAAACGGACCAGAGCTGGCCGAGGAAGCTGCGGCCATCGTGGTTGTACAGGTCACCAAGGACAGGCTTGATGGCCTCAGTAGCCTCGTCAGCCTTGTAGAAAGGAATGCGACTAGGATCTGTTAGCGATGGCTCGGGACATTTCTCATGATGAGAGGCAAAGCTTACGGGAACAGGTGGTGAACGACGTGCTTCTCAATGATGCCGTGGAAGAGGTGCTTGCCGATGAAGCCGAACTCACGGTCAACGGTGGCAATGGCACCCTTGACGAAAGTCCAGCCCTCCTCAGTGTAGTGGTGGACCTCAGGGTGGTTGTGGTGGAGGTAAGTGATGGCAACTGAGGGGTCAATTAGCACTATGATAAACACATTTGCTTGTGAAACCCAAAGGCCAAGCTTCAAGGATCACAAGTGAAGGGGGAGGGGGGCGTACCGAGCCAGTGGTGGACCCAGAAGTAGGGGACCGCGTAGAGGAGAGCGACGGTGGAGACATCGAGGATGGTGGAAGCATAGTACAGGGCGGAGAAGGTGATGGCCAGGCCAATATCAGAGATGGCAATGAAGATAGCCTCATTGGGACGGAACACGGCACTGGTGGGGCCGAAGTGGCTGACACCCAGCCAACGTCCGAGACCGTTGACCTCACGCTGCAAGCTACCCTTGCCGGCGGTGGCATTGAAGAAGAGGTACGCCTGCCATCCGAAGAGCTGGTGGGTGAGCAGGTTGATGGCCTGGGCAATGGGCGTGTCCTCGAAGAGCTCGTGAAGGTCGATGCTTCCGAACAAGGGCTTCTTGGAGGGCTTGGGAGCGGTGGCAGGAACGAAGGCCATGTCTTTCTTCATGTGACCGGTGAAGCGGTGGTGGCGGTGGTGAGAGAACTTCCATGAGAAGTAGGGGACGAGAAGGAAGGAGTGAAGGGCCCATCCGGTGATGTTGTTCACCTTGTCGGACTTGGAGAAGGCGCCGTGGCCGCACTCGTGGCCGAGAATCCAGACACCGGTGCAGATGAGACCCTGTACGAAGCCGTAGACCATCCAGGCGGTGGCGCGCAGGATGGGGTCCTGAATGCCGGGGATGTAGGTGAGAGCAGCCCAGACGAGGCCGGCGACCATGGTGAGGTCGCGAACGACATAGTAGTAGGAAGTCACGAGCGAAGGCTCGAAGCAGTGAGCCGGGATGGCATCTCTGATGGTCTGAATATCAGGGAAGACAGGCTCGTTGGTCTTCTATGAGGAGGGTCAGTGATCAATGATCGGTCATCGAGATCGATGGCGGCGCATCGGAAGCTGTTTGCCGACTAACCTTCCGGGGCTTCTCGACCACCACGGTAGACGAGGTACGTTGGGTCGCCATTGCGTATGATAAGGTGCAGACCAGGTTGTTTGGAATCACCTCACTATTGCTCAATGGATATAATATGAGATGAACGAAGGGGAAAGAAGGATACGCTCTCGAGACCGCACCGTATTATGGATGAGTAAAGGAAGGAACCAGAGGGAAGCTGGAGCTAAGAGGTCTGGGGAAAAGGGTGAAATTTTCTCAGGTGCCCGAGGTTAGGGAAAAGACAAAAAGGTTTCTAGTCAGACTTCACAAGGGACCCGGGAAGCAGACCGCCAACGAGAGAGAGGTGTCTCCTTGACCCTTTTTTTAGGAGCGGCAGCATTAAAGGTGGGCCGTTACCCACGGTGAGAGATGATCCCTGGAATAGGGGTCCAAACAGTCTGGACTACTTTTTTTTTTCTCGGTTTCCCCCCTTCCCTTGCTAGGTTGTCTTTGCCTTGCCTTGCCCACATGCATTGGGGGGGTTAGGCTCGGCGGCAGAAAATTTCATCTTACTGCTGTCAAAAGTCGAGTGTTTGGAATTGCTCGAGACTGCCTCGAGACGTGACTCGCCACTGGGTCTAACCTTGTGGCTTGCCCCAAAGCATCGCAGAGCCTCGGGCTGGGCGTATTCCGCAGCATATTCCATGACTCGATGATGACCGCCACACGTCGAGCACAAAGCAAAAAACCGGTACCGTGGGTGTTGAAGAATGTCTCGGTGTCTTCCTTCGCAAACGTGGCCTCGCGGCCGAAGTGTCAGTTCTATGACACCTTCCTCGGTACCATAAGGTGAAACAATCAAAGAGGCAGCCAGCAGTCCCGGGCGGTGAACGCGTATCTGGCAACTCGGGAGGGAGGTGTTGAGAAACGCGGATCTAATCTGCTGCAAGATCCTAGCACGTTCAAGAAGAGGCTTCGTCGCTTAAACGGAACTAAACGCAATTTGGCCTAGTCGTGCAAGATTTCCAAGGGTCCGGTTCCACGTGCGGATAACAGAAGTCTTGGAAAAAGCCCACACAAAGGTTCTCAACCCCAACACTTTTGCACCCCTTGCTCTCTGCTTCCAAGTGGGAAATGAAACCCACTGTGTATGTTTGAGCTTGAATCTCGTTTAACGTGGAGTTCCAAGGCAGAGAAAGACGGTGGTAGCACCTAACAGGACCCTGGGAACTCCATTTGTTGACAGAGTGGCATTTCGACAAACTCCATTGGCCAAACGGTGGGGGTCTTTGGCTTCAGGAACCTCTCCATCTTCTCCAATCGCTCTCCCCTCATTGCCCAGATTCAGAGACCGCCCCCAAGCTGTTCAAAACATGGGACCGTGCGGTAACGTCGCGTCCCACTCGGGGCTTTACGGAAAGAGGGGGGGGAGGATTGCGGGAGAAAGGGACGCACAAGTCATTCATTTCCCTTTGACCTTTGACATGTGCTAATGCGCCCCCTTTTGAGCTTCCCGAACGAGTTCGACCGGCTCTGTGGCTGAGCCGTCTACGGTCTCTCTTGTATTGCCAGCTACCATCTGCTATCTTTGTCAATCTGACGAGGCCGGGCCTGAGCACAAGGTTGGGGTTAGCGGGGGCCTCGGCGCACGTCCTGTCCAGATTGCGAGACTTTGCGCCGTTGGACGGAAGCAGTCAAAAGCTTAATTGGCTTCGTTGTGGATTCTAGAAATGAGCAGAGGTTACGAGGATCGGGATCCGGGGCAACCCTTTCTCTCTCTGGTTGTCTTGGGTTTGGTGCAAGTACGGATGTCTACTGACAATTGTCAGTATGGCAACTCTTGCCTCAATCAGAGCCGTCGCAACTCCCTGCGAGTCGAAACTTTAATCGCTGTACGCATACAACGCAGAACTCTTGTGAGATTCGCAAGAGGGAGTTCCAACGGCGAGGATCTAGGAAGTAATCAATTCCGACAATTTGCGTGTGCCGTTACCCGTTTGCCGGTGAGATTCGTGTCTATGTTGCAGTTATGAGGGGGCACTTGAGAATTGTTGTGGCATAACCGAAGGCCGTAATTTTCCTTCGAGTACTTATTCGAAGCCTCGAGTTGAAGCTGAACTCGTAGCATCCCAAACTCTAGATGCACTGACTACAACAACAACATGACGATTTCCAAGGCCAGAAGGCTCGAAGACTTCATCAGATTTGTCAAATTGAATTCTCCTTATTACGCCCAGTCCTGGAAGCTGTGTAAGACTCTTGAAGATGCGTCGGTGTCTTTAAGGGATTTGCCCGTCGTTGACCATGAGTCTTTCTGGGCATCAAACACATGTCGGAACAGTAAGGTTGTGACATCAAAACAGAAAGATGGTATTGTTTTTAAAACTGGAGGCGAGTTGTGCGCAATTCTCATACCACTTATCATAGGCTGCCTTCCAGACTCCATGACGGGTTGACCAACTTGTAATACATGTTTACTAACATTGCTCTGTCCAGGAACAACCACACACCCCAAAGTGTCGTTCTACAACCAGAAGGAACTTCATGGCCTTTCGACACAACTAGCAGAGAGCTTGGGACGCTGCGGAGTCGGCGAGGGAGACATGGTTGCCAATCTGTTCTACGCCGGCGACCTCTACGGCAGCTTCTTATTGCACATCCTCTCTGTCTATCATCTTCCGAGCGGTGCAGTCCAGCTTCCCATAGCTGGACACGTATCCTTGGAGTCTATGGAACGACAGATCGTTGAGTTCGAGGCAACGGTCATCCTCGCCACGGTGACTACCATGTCGCAACTCTCAGAACGCATCCTCAGCAGTGGCAAGACCCACTCATATGTCCGCCTGCTGCTTTTCTCAGGGGAAGCATTCTATGATGATCAGGCCGGGCTGCTGAAAGTTGCCTTCCCGAACGCAACAATCAGATCAGTCGTCTACGGGTCTATGGACTGCGGAATCATCGGCTTACCACCGAAGCCAGGGCACTACACAAATGACACCAGGCTTCACCAAGTCAACGATCCAAACATCATCGTGGAGATCATCACTGAAGACGGCAAGGTCACTACTACCCCAGGAGAGGTCGGCAGCTTGATCGTGACCAACCTGGAGCGTCAACTCATGCCCATTGTTCGCTACCCTTCTGGAGATCGGGCCGCTTGGGTTGACCCAGCTCTAGGCCTTTTCCGTGTCCTCGACAGGGACCGCACGGCCATCCGCCTCGGACCCGTTTCCGTCGACTTCGTGGACCTCCGGCGCATAGTGTCCACGATCCTCAGAGGCCGACCAGTCCGGCGTTTGCAAGCCATTGTCACACGAGAAGACAGAAAAGACCTCTTGACTCTGAACATCGCATTTACCCCGGCTACAGATGAGGAGAGTTCCCAGCTGCAGGCGGAGCTGAGGGAAGAGATGGGCGTGGTGCGTCCCATGTTTCGGGAACACGTCGAGAAGGACCTCATCAACCCGTTGAGGATTAAGTTTATTACCATGCAGGAACTCGCTGTTAACCCAAGAAGTGGAAAGATTGTCGAAGTACAGGATCTTCGGTCGACCACTATTTAGTTATATGTTTATTCATACGACGTGTGAAGTTGTGTAGAGAGTACTTGACGTTGTTGCACCAAAGTCTAAAAGAAGTTGTAGGCACCCCCTTGCCGCGTGAGGGGATTTGAATCACCACGAATTAAACGAGTCGCTGGCACTCCACAACGGAATAACTGGGATTGTCAATGAAACAAGCTTTTGTTCTCGCTACGATGCACTGGTCGTAAATCACGTTAGGCAAGCTCTCTTGATTGGGGCTGGTAGGCGCGTGGTACGGAGCGGGATCCAGGTCCTCGGACTTTTGTCAGGACCCCGCGGGTTGTCTCTCGGAGGCCAAGACCGATAACCCTTGTTGTCTTCCCCGGACGAACTGACCAACACCAACACCTCTTGAGCTGAAGCGGAGTCCAGGCGGAACCGGCCAGATTGAGCAATCGCCGTTGATTTTTGCTCTCTTGACTCGCGCCAACTTGATCGCATCGCATTGAACTAGTCACGTCTGATACAAACTTCACTTGAAAGTGCTTCCCTGCAAACGCAAAGTTTTTAGCGTAACATGCTTTGGTTGCAACTTCCTCTTCCCCGCGCGATGTCTATCGCCTGCTAGTTCATCAAAAAGCGTTCCCAAGTGCTCTCAAGGACCAGCTCATTCAATTACGAGACCCATGCCCCTTGGACACGGATGTCCAGTCATCAGCACCAATCTCCGCACATCAAATGCATAACAGGTCACAGAACTGGCAACGAAATTGCAACATGTCCGAGATAACCGCCAAAGGATCAAGGCAGGCCGGTCCCGGTAAGGAATACAAGACGACAGGCGTCCTCGCTCCGTACTACCCCGATCCCTCCTTTTTCCTCATTCGTTCAAGTTGTCATCTAACACGGCATTCAGGTGGGGCGAGCCGGCGTGGTTCCATGCTCTGGAGAGTCCCTACTACAATGACTCTCACCGGCGGTTCCAGACGTACGTACGAGACTTTGTCGACACTCACTTGCTTCCCTACGCGCAGGAATGGGAGGCAGCTGGGGAAGCCCCTCTATCAGCGAGGTTGAAGTTTGCCAAGTCCGGTCTTGCTTTCCTCGATGTCCCAAAAGAGTACCGACCCAAGGAACTCATGACTGTTGCGGGTATTGCGTTCGACAAGCTGGATGTCTTTCACGAGCTGATTCTCATGGACGAGATGGCCCGCATGCCCAGTGGGGTCCCCCTCGCTCTGGCGGGGGCATCCAATGTGGGTGCGCCGCCCATCTTTGCTGCCGGGACTGAGGAGCAGAAGAGACGATGGCTTCCTGGTCTCTTTACCTGGGAGACTAGCTTCTGTCTCGCCATCACGGAGCCCACGGCCGGCAGTGATGTGAGCGCCATCCGGGCTGCTGCAGAGAAAGCTCCCGATGGCAAACACTTTGTCGTCAACGGCCGCAAGAAGTGGGTTACGGGAGCACCTTGGGCAACCCACATGACCACCGCCGTCCGAATGGGCGAGCCAGGGCGGAGTGGTATCTCGCTGCTGGTCGTGCCTTTGAACTCCCCCGGTGTCACAATCAGGAAGATCCACAATTCCGGGCACAACGCCGGTGGTTCCTCATGGGTCGTATTGGAAGACGTGAAGGTGCCAGCTGATCACTTGCTGGGCAAAGAGAACGGGGCGTTCCCTTTCATCATGCGGAACTTCAATAAGGAGCGCTTCATCCTCACTGCGGACTGCAACAGACAAGCCCGAATATGTCTTTCGGAGGCACTGCAGCACGCACATGATCGAGAGACATTTGGAAAACCTCTCGCCTCGAATCAGATTATACGGCATAAGCTGGCGGCGCTTGCTCGCGAGGTCGAGGGCCATTGGGCGTGGCTGGAGCAAATTGCCTACCACGTCCATATTCACGGCTGGCAGACCAAGGACGTTGCAAGCAGAATTGCGTTGGCAAAGATCCAAGGCGGCAGGATCGTAGAGCAAGCCGTTAGAGAGAGCCAGCAAATCCACGGCGGAATAGGCTACGAAAAGGGGGTGACCATGACGGAGCAGGTTTCTCGGGACCTCCGTTTGAAAGTCATTGGTGGGGGGAGTGAGGAGATTCTGAGTGACCTTGCGTGGCGCGAGGAGCACAAACGAGCTTCTGATCGAGGCGCGAAACTCTAAGAAGCTTTCGATGGCTTGGAAATCAGATCATAACAAGCTTGAAACACACTTTCTGTAGCCCCGAATCGACTTCATTGCATGTTATGTATGACTGGTGTCGGTTGTCTAGAATAGCGCTATTACTTCCGTGATCCGCAAAGGTTCAATACGTGATGACATGGCATGGCTGGGCTGCGAGTCATGGGTGCTGAAGCCGCCACTTGGACCATGATACGAAGTGTTCGAGAATGAGACCAAAACCGAGACGTCCACGTGTCGTCCGATATATCGACAAGTGGCTGTTGATGGAGTGCAGAAAAGATGCTCAGGGTTGTACGCCTCTTGTGCTAGCTAGTCCTAGACAAGCCTCCATGTGCATTCAGCTTAACTGCAAGGACGCGATAGGGTCCTTGTCACGTAACAGGGATAGTAATCGCACCTCACGAAGTGCCCGTCACGTGCTAAATCACGTGTCTATCTCAGACATCGTGTATATAGACCTTTTCCTTTTGTCTATTTCCACTTTGATAGTTAAGCCACTTTTACCACACTCCGTATGCCCATTGCTGCGTGCCATAACTCGTGACAGTCCTCCAACCCCTGCACTAGTCTCCTCTCCAAGTTACACTACCTCGGGTGTCTCGTGAGACCCACCGCAACAGTCCGAACCCGAGGTGTCGGGGCCGGACCCCTCACCCTCACTTGTCACTTTCAATTCTGTCATCAACGTCTTGAGTTCAGCTTATTGACCCAGTTATCAACTCGCCGACCATGACTGACACCGACGTCAAGTCACACCCTGATTACAAGCACTTCGCGTCCATCCCATGGTGTGCCAGACTCCTCAGTCAATCCGACACTTCGTCCCACGTGGTGCAAGTCTCCCAAAACAGAACTGTCCTTCCTACAAGAGAGAACACGTACGTCGGCGGAACTCTCAACACACCAGACACCATCAAAGCCTGGTTGATCATACACCCCAAGCCGCAAGGTCCCGATTGGAAGGTCGATGAGTTGTGTTCTCTCATCACGTTTGACCATGGCATGATTGGGTTTCCTGAGACGGCTCACGGAGGCGTTGTTGCCTTGGTGATGGATGAAGTTACGGGCATTCACATTGTAGCCCAGAGGCCGGCGGGTACAGAGCCCAACAAAGATTTCAGAACGGGTTACTTGAACACGTCATTTCGAAAGCCTGTTCCTGCGCCGGGAACGGTGCTAGTGAGATCGAGGATAGCCAGAGTTGAGGGCCGCAAGTATTTTGTTGCGGCTCAATTAGAGGATGAGAACGGTGAAGTGCTTGCAACAGCGGAGGTCTTGTATATCTCAATCAAGAACAAATTATGAGTCGTAAGGACTTGTACAGTATACTTTGACAAACATGCGGTTTGAGAAGACAGAAGGAAGCCATAGGAATCAGATCATCATCTAAATAGCACAGAAGAGCCTCGAGATATCACTTGAGCTTGCATGGAACTATGCGCTGGCTAGACTCGGAAGTTACTTTTAGATAGTATGTTTATGTTTGATTAAAGTAGTCCTGCATTTGGTCAACGTGAAGATGAGAGTTGGTTTATTTTTACGTGAGTGAACCAGGGAGCACCGGGGTTGGCATTGACCAAGTTGACAGCCGGAAGTTGTCCCCACCAACTTGTGTACAAGAGTGCGGGCGTAGATTTGGCAAGGCGTTGCCAAATCTTTGAAATTTAGCAGTTTACTTGACAATTAGCACTTTGAAGACGTAAAAATATTCAAGTATGCTAGAGCCTGAAGAAGTCACGCATGGCATTGCTCAAGTTGGTCGTTAATGTAGCAGCATGCGAGGACTGAGGGTCTACAGCGAAGCCTGGATCAGTAGGTCGGACCTAGACTCGAACAGCATAGGGAGATACACATGTCTAAGTCAACTAGAAGTGCACCATGGAATGCCTTGCTACATTCGTTATTGTAGGGGAAAGAAGAACGAGATGACGTATTACTTTGGTCGTAGTGAGACCGGTGGTTGCTGGCTCACTACTCAAATTTATAGCGTGGTGTGGGGGTAATCCGAGCTGAATCGGCGTAGCCCCCCCATTGGCCGACATGTCGGACCAGGAGGCGAACCGGAGCAGTCCGTACCACGACAAGCGGACCGATCCATCCCCACGATCAGCCCAGAATCTTCTAAGCTAGGGTTTAGTCGAGTCTTCAGATTCTGTACAGATTTTACGCTGATAAATCCTGTACAGGCTTACAAATGTCGTGGGTTCACTAGAAATTCCTGGCTGCTAGCCAACACTAGCCAATTCGGATGTATGAATACGAATATAAAGCACGATTGTTTTGAGATTCCAAGCCAAATCTGAGCAATACTAAACATCTACGTTAGCTATCGCTTTCTTCTGTTACATCGCATCTCACATATCCAATTGGTCTTAGCCACTCCATCTGCAGTTATCATGTCTCTGCCTTACCAGAAAGTCCTATTAGTCGGAGCGACCTCGGGAATCGGTGCAGCTCTAGCGGACAAACTTGTCGAGAATGGCACTTTCGTCATCGCTGCCGGTAGAAGAAAGGAGAACCTCGACAAGTTCGTTGCGAAGCACGGCGCGAACAAGGCTGCGGCAGCTGTCGTGGATATCCTCAAATTGGAGTCGGTATGTTGAGGCTCTTCCCCTTCATGAAGGTATGGTAAAGGATAAGACTAACGAAATGTTTAAAGATTCCGGAGTTTGCTTCGTCCATAATCAATGAGCACCCTGATCTTGATTGTGTATTTCTGAACGCCGGAGTTCAGCGAGGTATCGATTTCACCAAGCCTGAAAACGTCAGTTTGGACATCATTTATGATGAGCTTCTCGCAAATTACCTCTCCCATGTCCACTTGACCAAGGCCTTCCTCCCCCATCTTTCAAAGCAAGACAAGCAGACCGCCTTACTTTACACCACATCTCAGCTCGGCCTCATTCCGATGAAGCGGTGCCCCAACTACAGTGGCTCCAAGGCTGCTATGCACGGCTTTATTCTCGCACTCAGATCCCAGCTCAAGGATGCGTCTTCAAGGGTCAAGATTGTTGAAGTTTACCCGCCTGCAGTACAGACGGAACTGCACGATGCCAAGAATCAGCCGGACTTGAAGAACGGCCATGCTATTGGCATGCCGGTAGACGAATTCGCCGATGAAGTCTACCAGAGATGGGTCAACGGAGAGGAACAGATCCCAGTGGGAACCGCGAAACCCATGTTTGACGCGTTTGAGAATAAGAGACAGGATTATTATGAGAGCTTTAACGCCGAGATGGACAAGGTGTTGGTAGATTTTACCGTTTGAGTATTGGGTCACCAGATCTTTGGAAATAAAGAGGTATGGAGGATTGCGATGGGAAATAAGTCAACTGAGCATTTATCGATTCTTCTCGGGCAATGGATGAAACTATTTCACTCTGGGTCTGTGTGTTTGTGATATAATGTGTGGCTTAGGGACTGTTATGGTGCGCATCAATTCCATCAAGTCTTGCTTTAGGGTCTTGGGTGACATGCTGTTCTAGCAAGCGCAGAATACAATAGATTGCCGGTCAACTTACGAGTGTAGGACAAGTCATAATGATAACAGCAGTGTCACCGGAAGTAGCGGCAAGACTGTTCATTTATCAGCAAATTGTTTGTGCACCCAATTTTCAAGGCAAGGTAGTTACAAACAATTGGATGCCGGTAAGGCGAGGAGGCATTCGATCGCCGAGATACGCCGGCTTTGGCAGCACCGTCTTACCGAACAAAATATGGGTCTATCCCGATCGCGCTCCGTGAAAAGGTGGACCCCATCGGCTGGTTAACCGCTGGCCCGTGCTTAACTCCGTCAATCGCCACTTTCTTCCTTTCGTTGACATCACGAAAGCAAGGCTAATTCTTAACAAACCCGCGGCCATAGCTCGACCCTCTCAACCATGTTCTGTCCCCCGACGTCCACCGAGGACTGGGATCTTGAGTATGGCGACTAGGCTTTCACGAACACCGCTGCCCTGGGGACGCCGTCTATCCTTACGTTGGCGCACCGAACCACTCGCTGCGAGATGTCGATCTTACACATCCGACCGATCCCCCGAAGCTTCCGCAGCTCCAACACCCAATCGCAGTGATAATGGCCCAGAGAAAGAAAAGGGAGCCATGTCGCGAAAGCTCGAGGAAGCTACAGAAGAAGCTCTTTTGACTGGTGGCCGGCGCGGGCGTCAAGCTATCGAGGATGCTGGGTTTTCCGAAGAGCTGAAGCAGCGGCTTCTCGACAAGGTCGAGACCGCCAAATTCCGATCCCAATACGCACCCGCTTTCGCAGAGGCTCAAATGCCCACTTCAGCAGGCGAGGGGACACGTTCAATAGCTGCAGCGCAGGCTTGGACGGGAGACGAGGCGCAGTCTGATACGGTTCTGCGAATGCTCAACGATGCGAAGAAGCCCCTCAAGCCCGAGCTAAGGGGACAATTCCAGATTCCGCCCGTTGACATGCGGATGCGAACAAAGTCAAAGACGAATCCTAGCCAGCGGGCTGCGAATGCTCGCGAGAAGGCCTCGACATATACTGCACTGGGATTTAAAGAGGAGCGCGGGCAAAGCGCCAAGGAACGCGAAGAGTTTAGAAAAGAGCTCCGCGACCGATTTGGAGCAGCAGCTCGAGCTGTGCCGAACACTATATCAGGCCTCGAGTCACTGGCCAACGAAAGAATAGAGGACGCCATTGCTCGTGGGCAGTTCAAGAACATCCCTCGCGGCAAGGGGGTAGAAAGAGACGCAAGAGCCGATAACCCTTTCATCGATACCACCGAGTACATAATGAACAAGATGATCAAGAGGCAGGAGATTGTCCCGCCATGGATAGAGAAGCAGCAAGAGTTGGCCAAAACCGCTGGCATCTTCAGGGCAAGATTACGCAACGACTGGAGGAGGCACGTCGCCAGGATGATTTCGTCAAAAGGTGGGAGCTTGGAGGAGAAGATGCAACTGGCCGAGGACTATGCTCGTGCAGAGGAACGCCATAATCCGCGCAAGAGAAACAGCGACAGTATTTCGGTTCCCACCAATGTGACCGATGATCCTGTCATGGCGAAGGTGCGTCAACAGGCGGTCGAGGGCAACAGCACTAGCGAAGCCGGACCAGAGGCAGCGCCGACGAAGCCTGCTCGGCCACTGGTACAACCCTTCCGCGACTCTGATTGGCTTGCAACTGAGAGCTCGTATATGAACCTCGCCGTCAACAACCTCAATGCGATCACGCGTTCCTACAACCTTATGGCGCCAGAACTGGCGAAGAAGCCGTACTTCTCGCTTGAGCGAGAGCTCAAGGCTTGTTACGCCGATGTCGCGCCCCTTGTGGCAGAAACTATCCGCGAGAGAGCCACCAGGCCGACAAAGACATTATTCGATGCAGCAGGGGGCGGTCAAGTCACGGTTTTTGACCGCTTTAGTAAGGAGGGAACATCGGCCAAGATATACGATTCCAGGGCTCCTCACTATGGCTTCAAGGAAATGTGGAGGGATCTCTTCAACTGAAAGTAGATGTGTTTTTCCGTCCGGCTCATTTCATTGAGCTCTGAGTCTCTTAATTTAGCAGCAACCGATGTCGGGGTTGATGAGTACGATCTTCATCGTTGATGCCTTCTTCTAAACGCAGCGGGAATATCTTCCATGAATATCTTCCCTGCTGGAAATCAGCGTGCTTCCTGAAGCCTCTTTTGACCCAGATCGGGTTACATTTGAGAATCAATCCCCAATGCTGTACAGCCAGCTCAACCGGGCATGTGCATGTCACACTCACTTTTTATCGGAACCTGGATGGATCACTTAAACATCTACGGCGGGCATGATGGCCCGCGATCACCTGGCACCCACTCCTGTCTCACACTTTATCCCAGCCGTGTTCCATCCGGGTTGCCCTCTCTCATGGCTCACCAACAGCCAAAGCCTATACAATCAACTCAACCTTCCCAGTCACACAAGTAGAAGGCGCCTGCTTGGGCGCCTTGGCCCAGCGGAACACTCAGCTGGTGTCGTGGGATTTCCACATGTCTCTGTTGAGACGGACCTCGACCCCTTGAGTTCGACTCCTTGCTGGGCCCTTTTTTGCCCTTTTTTGCCCTTTTTGCACCTTTTTCTCTCCTTTTGTGACCTGGAATCACGTCAACCTGACTTCTTTGTAATAACGCTACTGGCTCTTAGCTTGAGACGCTGTATGCAATCAAAACAGGCGGACATTTCTTGAAGAGTAAGATTGGGAAGGACAAGATGAAATTGTTGATGCCGGGCAAAAGTGTTTGCGGAGTACACCGACAAATTCGCTTGAAGATGGCTAGAGTTCCTCTATTGGTTTGGAACCGTCTCTTACGTGCTTAGATGAACTTTAGACAAAGTATGGGCAAGTAAGCCAAGATCTGTAGTGACCGTAGATAATTGTAATCTGAAACGATGAAATTAGACTTCCTGACGGCATTTGATTTTGAGTCGATCATTTAGTCGTGACGTAACTTTCCTGAGCATGGTTCATTCATCCCACCGGCAGATGGAGATGAATCCCAAGAGTATTGAGTAAGCAGAGAGATTGATTGGCGCCAGGCTTCACGTTCGGTACGAGCCGCGCCTTGGCTGGCAGTTGAGACTGGAGACAAACTGACTTGCGACATCGAGACCGGTGGGATGAGCACCGTCCTCCGATCGATATTTGTCCGAACGCCCGTCAATGAGCCTTTTGATTGGCTTCATCTGAGAGGATGCCGTTCGGATTCTGTTCAGTCGGTGCGGACACGGGCCGGCTTGAACATGTATTCGTCCGAAAACTACGGATCGCGGACTCACGGAGGTTCAACGTCCGGATGACTGGTGCGTCCCACCGAATTGTCGTCAGTCCGATAGTCCGCTATGATGATGGGTATATGTCGTGCGGCCACATTGGGATTGAAGCTCACAGATTTATCTGAACAACATTGCACCAATCAAGCGCCAGACAATAAATCAATTCTTACACGACCATTATGGAGACTACTACCTTTTCCAACGAATCGCTCATCAACGCGTCTACGGACCGCCAAGAAGTCGGCCAAACCCCTTGGTACTATGTGCTCGGGACATGCGTACCACTTGCCATTCTCGTGCTGTTCTGGATGAGAGACCATGGCACCAAGCTCCCGTATCTCAATCCCAAAGGACGGTTCGAGTGGTCCTCGGACAGGGTTGTTCGGGAGTTCGTATTCAATTCCTACCGAATGCTGTATTCATCTGCAAAGGACTTCCTCGGCAAGCCTTTCCGTGTGCTGTGTGATGTTGGAGATGTCATTATCCTGCCACCTGATGTTGGCCAGGAGATTCGGAATGACAAGCGCTTTAGCTTCGTTCAAGGCCTATTTGAGGTGCGTCTTCCAAGGGGGGATAACAGGGGATTCGATTGCTCGACGAGGAAACGTCTACTAATATGCAGGACAAAGGACTTCCAAGGACAATATGCGGGCTTCGAGGCTTACAAGGAAGCCTGCCATCCTTCCGAACGTATTCAAAATGTGGTCAAGCTAAGGCTAACCAAGACCCTTGGTACGTCTAGCGGTGATCTTGTAGCCACCTATTCGCCTTGATTAATGCTAACCTTGAACGATCCTTTTCAGGCAGGATTTCGGGCATTCTTTCGCAGGAAGTTGAAGAAAGCCTACAGGACACGCTAGGTGATTCGACTGGTACACTTGATCCCACAACATCAACATCTCGGATTTTGACTCAGTGCTGATGAATGGCGCAGAATGGCATGACGCGGTGGCCAAACATGAAATCCTCAAGATTGTGTCCCGGATGTCATCCCGGATCTTTGTCGGGAAACGGCTAGGACGCAACGAGAAATGGCTGAGCACCATCGTAGGCTATGTCGAGCTCAGCGTCCACGCGATGCAGAACCTCCGCTTCTGGCCTAAGTTCCTTCGAGGCATCGTGGTGTACTTCCTCTCCGGACCCACAAAGCTGCGCGCGTACATCAGAGACGCCGAGACTCAAGTCTTTGCGGAGATCAAGCACCGTCAACAGGAAGGGGACTCTGTCGAGGAGTACAACGATGCCATCGAGTGGTTCAAGGAGATGGCCAAGGGGCAGAAGTTCAACCCAGCTGTCGCACAGTTGATTCTGGCTGGCGTGGCGATCCACACCACGGCGGACCTAGTTACCCAGACTCTCTACGACATTCTTCAGCACCCTGAGCTTATTCAACCTCTTCGAGAAGAAGCTATTCAAGTCATTGGCGAAGGAGGATGGAAGAAGACGTCGCTGTACAACATGAAGCTCATGGACAGTGTTCTCAAGGAGAGTCAGCGACTGAAGCCGAATCAGATTGGTAAGTTCTTTCAATGCTCTCCTTGCATGACTTGCAGACCCAAGAAAACTTTGCTCACAGACTTATCAAGTGGGAATGGCCCGTCGCGCCACAGCAGACGTCCAGCTCTCCGATGGAACGGTTATCAGCCGCGGCAGCGCGACTGTTGTCTCAGCCGAACGCATGTGGGATGACAAAATCTACGAGAACCCGCACGTCTTCGACGGCTATCGATTCTACCGTGAGCGCGGCGGCCCCAACGACGCAGTCAGCCAGTTTGTCAGCACCAGCGTGAACCACATGGGTTTCGGTCACGGCATGCACTCCTGCCCGGGCCGCTTCTTCGCGGGAAATGAGGCCAAGGTTCTGCTTGCTCATATGCTTCTGAAATACGACATCAAATTCGTCGAGGGCCAGAAGCCGAAGTTTGCAGAGTTTGGGTTCACGCGCGAATCGGACTCGGATGTCAAGATCTCGGTTCGTCGACGCAAGGAGGAAATTGATCTCTCCGTTCGGGTTGAGGAGGAATAGATTCCTAAGGAGGCTTATTCATCCAGGCTCTGGCTTTAATTTGATCATCGGCAAAGGTCTTTTCAATACTTTGAGGAACAGAATGGGGCAGGGCACTTATATCGAGAACATTGGTAGTTTGTTTAGCAAGGATTAGAATAGACGGATTGAAATCAACGGCATTTGCACCTTATCCCCATCCAAAGTGAAGCGCGCTTTACATTTCCTTTCCTGTCTCAAAAGTTTTGTTTAATGCTATCATACAAAGGCCAAAGCCGACCTAAGTTTTCCACCCATAATCTACGGTGATGAGTAGACGTAACCGTAAGCCTTCTTCGCCTCATCAACTTGCTTCTTGACCTCGGCTTCACTCTCGACAAGGTCCTTTTCCTCCTTCAGTCTCTGCTCCATGCTGGCAACCGACATGTACGGAGAGCTGGGAATTTGGATGCCTCGCTGAACAGCAGGTCTCTCATAGCATCTGTCCAACCATGCCTTGACGTTCGGGAACTGGTAGATATCCACGCCTGCCATGGGAGCGCCTTGCACCCACCCAATCATTGAGATATCAGCGATGCTGTAGCGCCCGCGATCCGGACCGACAGCAAAGTCCCGCTTATCGAGATGGGTGTTCAGAACGCCAAACAGTCTCTCCGTCTCACCGACGTAGCGCTGGGTGGGGTAGGGGATTCTCTCCTTGGAAAACCTGACAAAGTGGTTCGCTTGACCTTGCCTGATGAAAGCATTAGTCTCCCCCCTCAACATCATGAGACGGCTACACTCACATGGGCCCCAGTCCACCGTGTTGCCAGCCAATCCAAGACTCGGCCCGGGTGTAGTCATTGTCCGAGAGGGCGAATGAGAACTTGTGCTCAGTGTCGTACTTGCGCGTAAGATAGCTGAGAATGGCGCTGCCCTCAAAGACAGCAAGCTGCTCGTTGTCATGGTCTACGATGACAGGGATGCGGCCGTTGGGGTTGAGTGATGTGAACCATGGCTCCTTCTGGATGTTTTGCATGATGTTGATGCTTTGGACTACGAAAGGGAGCCCGTAAGCCTCTTTCAGTTCCTCCAAGATGATGCTAGCCTTATAGCCATTCGGAGTGCCTGAGTACAGTCGTTTAGCAAGAGTTCATAGCTCAGAGTGTATTGTCTAAATAGTTTACCGAATGTTAAGAGCTCGATGCCCTTCTTGGCGATGAGACCAGTGGGACGTGCAGCAGCCATTGTGATGGGATGTGACGAGATGAGGATAGGGTGAACAATGAATTCAGATGGGAACTATTTGGACTATGATGTCGAGTATATATGATCAAAGCTGAGCTACCGTAGGATGTTGCAATTGTACATATATATGTTGCAAGATGCTGTAGATATTGGCGTAGCTGGAATGTGAAGCGGATTGCTAATACAGTTCAAGCTGACAAATGCTTCTCCACTGTGTCCATGACGACAAGGACGACTCTCTGGAGTTTAGCGCTTTTTCGGTTCCGGAAAAGTCGCGACTCAGGCCGCTTACCACGCGACGAGAACCTAGTCCCGCGCGCCAGCTTACAACAAGCAGCTTGTCCGACATGGAGGAGTTGAGAGCTTTCTTATGTATTGTGACCATTGATAAAGCTTGAATTTGAGGCTTGCGCAACGCACTTATCCCAAAGAAATTCGTGCGACCGTTTGAGAACCTCATACCACTCAAAGCTAGATGCTTTGAAATGTGATGCTTGGATTACTGGACTCGAAGGTCATTGGGCATTTGATAGGCAGACTCAGTGATGCACGCATACAGGTCAGCGAAGATGTCTTAACAAGACACCTCAGCGTAAAGCTTGTAACGCTCAGTCTTGTCGAGTCTCACCGAGTCTCACCGAGACAAATCGATTTGTTCGGATGCTTTGTGTGATTGTGCAGCTATTTGTAAGTCCTTGATCTTCTGACATCCGTACGGAGGAATCTTCTCAAAGCTCGCGCGTTGACCTTGAGTTCAAAGTTGAGGGCATGGCGGTACGGTCGCCGTTGTGACCTGAGCAGCATTGCTACCCCACAATCCAGATGAGTGTATTCATGGCAGGTTGCCCGTGCTGTCACGCAGAGCCTCAGTCAAGCTTCGAATGATTACCCTACTCAAAACTACGATACCTTCCTGAAAGACGACCTCTGACTGCCCCCACGTGCCCCTTGATCCTGGACTTGAGATGTTGGGGATATAACCCGGAGCTCAGGAGTATCTGTGGATTGTTGGGGGTCACCTTAGTCATTCCCCAGAACTTTCAGCTCCAGGTTCTCAGAGAGGCAAAAAATCCCGGCCAGAGCCTTGACCCCACAAGCAGCTAATGCTCTAGCAGGGAAAGCTCCATGTCAGGCAAGGGTTAATTCGCCAATGCTTTGGAAGTATGACGTTAAATAAAGCTCCAACACGAACGCTGAAGCAACGAAGCTTCCTTCTGTTTGGGACCGATCCAGTCTGACGGGTCACGATTTGACGGTAGTTCACCCACCCTCGAGTGAATTGGGTAACTTGCAGCGGTTGACGAGACCGCCGGGCGGATACCGAGCATGCACCGAGTGACGCGATCCATCGTGGGCCCGAGATCGGACCGTCACTCGGTCGAGTAAATAAAGCTCCGAGTCCCATCCTCTCGCGCTGATAAGGTTGCCAATTGCTTGATCTTTGACGACAATAGCCTCTCGCTTGAACCTAGGCCTCCACTACCAAGCAACACCACGCAGACGTAGCATTCGAGGCAAGATGACGCTCATCAAAGAGCCAATCATGGAGCCGGTGAACATCGCGGACGTTCACAAGATCGCGCAACAGAAGCTCGCCAAGCCAGTATGGGATTATTACGTGACCGGCGCTGATGACGAGTATACACTTGCGCGCAATCATGAAGCCTACAATGAGTGAGTCGCATCCCCCGCAATCTTCACGGCTGATTAGTATTCTAACCATTGATTACCGTGCAGCATCCTCCTACGGCCTCAAATGCTTCGCAACGTGAGCGACATTGATACCTCAACCACCATCTTCGGCAAACGTTACGATATCCCGATCGCGATCGCACCGAGTGCCTATCAGAAACTGGTCGGCGGGGAGGGCGAGCTCGACGTTGCTCGCGCCGCATTCAACCTCGGAACAAACCTCACGCTATCAAGCAACGCCACGACTTCTCTCGAGGATGTCTCAGCAGCAATTCCCCAGCGCGGCCCAGATTACCCCCGTCCTTGGTTCCAGCTCTACTTCCTCGGCAGCCGAGATCTCACGGCGAAGCTCATCAAGAGAGCCGAGAACGCGGGCTACGAGGCCTTGGTCCTGACTGTCGACACTGTCATCTTGGGCAACCGCCTGCAAGAACGGAGAACCCCTCTGGAGCTCCCTCCAGGAATTGCTATGGCCAATGTTGAGTCGCGCAAGTCCGGCGCCATTTCCACAGCCGGGCTACTCTTGCGCGCTAAGACGATGGCGGAGCATAAGAAGATCCAAGAAGAGAACCACGACCATCTCGTCGACGCCAGCTTGGAGTGGAACGAGGTCATTCCTTGGTTGAGGTCGCAAACCAAGATGAAGATCGTTTTGAAGGGAATTTTGACTGCGGAAGATGCGCAGAGATCAGTAGAGGCTGGTGTGGATGCCATCGTTGTGTCAAATCACGGTGGGCGCCAACTTGACGGTGTGCCGTCGACAATTGAGGCGTTACCTGAGATCACGGATGTTGTCAGAGGCAGAATCCCAGTCATCGTCGACGGCGGTATCACAAGGGGAACCGATGTTTTCAAGGCCCTCGCCCTCGGCGCCGACCTGGTTCTCATTGGCAGAACTGCACTGTGGGGATTGGCTTGGGATGGTCAGAAGGGAGTCGAGGGAGTTCTCAACATCCTCGAGAGAGAGTTGACAAGAGCTATGGCACTGATGGGAACCGCAAAGCTCAAGGACATCTCAAGAGGTCTGCTTGGACGGGCCAGGCAGAACGGGTTCGGTGTTGCGAAGCTATAGATATGGGCGTTTCATCCTATCATGGAGTAGTCATGACCCAGGCAAGATAATCTTAGATTGTATTTTGTTTGCTTTCCAGCCAAGCCCCAACGTATTAGACGATAGATCAATGCCGATTTCATTCATTCTGACCGAACGCCCTTCGAGAATGATTGATTAATCATCGTTCTGTGTCACCAGTATCGACTTCGCCTCAATAGATACTTTCAAACTTACTGCACATTAATACCACAAGGAGCTGAGTATGCGTGGTAAAGAGCAAATTTTCATATGAGCCTCTCACTGATAAAAAAATGGCTAAAGCACGAGCTCTATCGTCTTTGGAGGCGGCCTGACCGTAAACTTAGGGATCGTAATCCTCCGAAAGGCAAGGGCAAGGTTCAGTACTCTTAAAATAGCCTCCCATTGATGAATAGAGGAGCTGTTACTCATGAGTCTGATCCAGGCCCCGAAGCGGAGGCCAAATCCAGCCGAATCAAGTAAATTAATTCTTTAACTGTAGTGGACAAAGGCAACAAGCAGTGTCAGAAGTTGCAAATGCGTAGAAATTTCGTGACACTGAATACAAAAGTGGTTGGACAGGCTGTTCGCCCTAGAAAGCTTCATCGCAAGTGGGATCTTTCCGAATTCCCTTTTTTCACCCGTAGAGTGGATTTATAGAAGTTACTTGAGTAATATTTAACTCTATAGCTCAAATCTTTGCTCGTCTACAAGAGCATTCCTAGGGTATCTCTATTGAGAGCACTCGCGATGTGCGAGTTCGTATTTTCGAATTCCAAATCAAGCCGCTGTAATCTCTCCACACCCTTGATTCTACTCCTCGCAAGCACCTCTGCAATACTCGGCACCCGGGGGAGGCGGGCATCGCGCACCATCGGGCACGACACCACTCGCACCGCCTGAAACACCCTCTCCATTGAAGTAACACTTTCCAATATCGTTCTGGCAAGGGTTACCCTCACCAGGGCAGCAGTATCCGTACGCGTTGATGTCAAAATTGTAGCAAGCGACAGGGTCGACCTTTGGCTCCGCTGATGGTGTAGCCGAGGGCGCGGGGGCTGCGGTGCTTGTCACCAGCATAGTCGTCACCTCCACGGTCTCCAAGATAGACGTAGTCGAAACAACAGGAGCACCCTCCCAATCTACGAGAGGAATGCCTGCAATAAGAGGCTTGAAGGCTGTCTGATTCATGCCGGACCAATCCTCGCAGACGTTCTCGACAGCTGGCTTGTAGGTCTTCTCTGCAGGCTTACTACAGGGTGCAGAACTGCTGACTGGCTTTGAGCTCGTTGTCGGGGACTGGGTTTGACGGGGGGTGTTGGTGGGCTCATCGGGCCCTGATTGCTGGGGATCCTTCGAGGGATCGCTGACTGTCTGTCCTTCGGGAACGGGGACAATGACGCCTCCGAACGAGGCAAGGCCACCGCCGGGTCCGCCAAAGGCGACGGCTCCCGCGGGGATGACGACTGCGACAGTGCCTGATACTGTGATAACTTCGGGCTCCGCGCTACGAGAAGGTGTCGGAGTCGCAACTCTCGAGGGAGCTACATCAGGCCGCTTTCGTTAGCAATGTAGAATAGATGGTAAACGTGTTGTTCTCAGAGAAGTGACCAGTGACTTACGCTTGCTGGTTGAAGTGATGATGGTGGGCGGCAAAGGAGTACGGGACAAAGAGGGTGGCGCCGACGAAGTTGTCGAGTTGTCAAATCGTACCTGGCGCTTCTGGCGCACCAAAGTAGAGGATGCAGGTGATGCTGGGCAAGCGGGCTGTTCTTCTGCGTTGGGAAACGCCATCGAATCAAGTGCAAAGATGGCATAGTTCTGCGCATTCTTTACCTTCTCTGCTGCTGACAAGCGGGAGCAGCTATACATTGTAAGAGTTAATAGATTGATCTCTTAAGTGATTCATTTCGAGTCCGGAAATGCCTTACCATGTGGCAGAGTAGCAGTCCTCAGACCTATCATCAAGGAATCCGAAGAACGGGTTCTTGAGATCATCCGCACGTTCTCCCGCACCCGTGGCAATGAGCATATGCTGGGTCTCGTGGACCAAGACGAAACCCTTCGACATGTCGCCGATGGCACTTTCAGCCTGCCATTGCTTCACCATTCCCTGGTTGGTAGGCCGGGTCTTATCGAAGAAGGTCTCGCATAGTAGTAGTAAAGTGGTCCCAAAGACTGCGGCCTCGGTATCTGTCGCACTCTGTACACCCGCAACCATTTGACCGTCTGCACAGGGTCCATTGTTTCCGGAACAGCCGAAGACAAGACTCTTGTCTGTCACTGTATTGGGGGGAAACAAAGGCTCGGGGGAAAATCGGAAAGCTGTTTCGACACTCGGGGGCTTGAGGGAGTCGATCACAGGACGGTAGTGCTTTTCAATGAGATTGGAAGCTGAAGGACCTCCACTTTCTATGCAGTAAGGGCGAAGTAAGCGCTTTGTATCCTTGAAAGAGACGACAGGTGTGTTGGCTTACCAGGTCCGAACCACGAGAAGTACGCTGGAGTCCTCGCAACATTGGACTTTCCAAGAGCAGTAAGAGCTGCATTTGCGAGTTCATGTGCCTCGACAACGCCCTGATCTATATCTAAAATTTGCTGAGGGCTACATGACCATTGCCCCTTGATGATGACGGCTTCGCCATCGAAAAGATCGCGCTTGCTAATGCTTTGATGCGATGCATGTGATGTAACCACTGGCAACGACGCTAGCAGAGAGCCAGAAAGCAGTAATGAACGTAAGTTGAATGACATGTTGTAATGAGTGGACAGAACAAATAATGAGTGACGGAGGAGCTGGTCGGCCTGGCGCAGATTCAACATGCGCCGGTAGAAGCGGAAAACATGCTGCACATTTATGGACTTCTACAGCCGGTAAGACCGGCGCATTCTCGAAGCCATCGTCTGTCAGAAAAGATCTAATTAATTATGATGCAGAATCAAGACCAGCTCGCAATTTACTCACTACCCATAGCGCCTCTTTGCCAAGCAGCTCTTAGAAGACCACATTGCTATCAATAGCACCCAGCCAAGCAGCGGGCCACAGACACGGGACCACATGAAACGCCCACATATTGCCACCCTTGGATTAGACACGATGACAAGAGCTATAAGCCCCCGGTCACAACCTATAAGCATTCGATCGCTTAGAAAAGGCATATTGAAAGTTTTGAGTACTTCGCCCCAGACAGTCTAGAACCAGCCTCAGTGGTGGCATGTTGTGGTCCACAATGTCGCGAAGACAACTTCATCCCGTCCATGTCAATCAGTTCATCCCTTCTGTGCAAACAAGCTCAAGGCTAATGTTAAGGAGAGTACCACTTCGAATCCTTCTGAGGATGAAAAGTTTCTCATGCAAGACTGGATCGCCCCTCCTGCCCGCACGCCTCACGGACTTTGTGGATAGGCATGTTCCTGGCGTTCGCGATATGTCCAACAGCGTCGCAGAATATACCGCCTGGGAACCCGGGAACTCTGAATCTCACTGGAGACCAAACATAAATCTCCGTAAGGCTGTCAATCTCACAGAGTCTGGTTCCTCTACGCAACAGGGATGAGATGATTTGGGCGATGGTGTAGAGTTTGACGGCTGCGCGCGGCTACGACGTGACGCGCAGCTGCAGCATGGACGGAGAAGTATAGTGCGTGAGTCCTTAGTGGTGGTGTGGGCCAAGCCACTGTTTTAACAAACTTCAATCTACGGATAAGGTGCCCAGAACGGCTGGTTGGCAACCATGCTGAAATTGGCAGCGGACAAAGTTGTCAACTGCCATCATAGGCTTTCTCAGTAGGTAGTTACAGGCTACGGTGCCGGGTGCCGACTCGTTTTCGCCAAAGAAAACCGGGCGCAACGATTACACGGAGCTGTTGATCCACCCCGTCGGAGTTTCGGAGGGTTGCATTGCAGCTCTAGTTGTCTTCTTAAGGAAGAGAACAAAACCTAAAAGTGTCAACCCTAGTTGAAAGACAGCCCAACAGTCTATTTGTCAATAGGGCTTGGTGCCGCCGAGCCGCCAATTAACACATCATCTTGGCAAGTTCGTGCCTGGTAGCCTTCGTGACCAGAGACATGACTCTTCGCCATAGTAAAGAGATGTACGAACATCGGCTGTGCAATAGATACCAGTATAATGGGTGCCGACATGAATCGCACCCCGGATTGCCGGGATTACGATCACAAGTAGGGCTGACTCGCTCATCATTCATCCCAAAGCTGGGCAATCAATCAACGTTGTTGGGACGAAGAGCGAACTAGTCTATTTATGATCACTCTTGCCAACCGTGCGTAAGAAAGGCGACGCATAGCCTCATCCGACCAGTACACCTTAGGGCTTCGAGGGATCAAGTGAAACAGATTCGATGGCTTGGCATCATGACATAAAAGGTTTTCTGCCCAAGGTATCAGGAGTGGAAAAGAGCTTACGCCTCTCAACTCTTTTCGGGTTTCTTTTCCAGACTGGAAACTTATCGACAATAGTTCCGTCCGATGAGCGGAGTTTTGAGTACCTTACTACTAGTAAATACCGCACGCCCAGCACCAGCATGCTGACTCACGATTCCGCAATGAAGAACTACCAGTGTGTATAAAGTGTGGCATGGAGTGGGTAAAGCAATCGCATTGGAAGCCTTCTTGTTGAGCCTGTCAATAGTTGCCTCGGCTCAACTCTGCTAAATGAGTAGGGAAGACTGCCGTTGGAGATATGAAGGGCAAGGCCTTTTTATTGGATTTCACCATTATTACCAACATTCGCTCTCATACGCGCGGAGAATCTTATACTAATAGGAGTACCTGAACTTTCTGTTCTCGAAGTCCGTCAAGTCCATGAGAACCTCATCAGATACATCCTCCGCATTGTGTCCACTAGCCTCCGCCTCCGCGTCTCTCTGTTTGTTCCTCTTAATTAACAACAGCCGAATGGCGATAGCCAATACGACTTGACCGGCAGTGCAACCCATGATGACTTTACAGCCAGTGCCGTAGATGGGCGCTTCCGACGCGAGGAAAGCTTGCGGGCCTATGATGTTTCCCACGCAATACGCTAGAAAGACGAAGGCTGTTGATGTCACACGCTTGGTGTAACCCGCGACATTCGCAGCCGGCATTTGCAGCGCAACGACAAGAGCACCGACGAAGGAGGGACTCTGCAAACCTTGTTAGAAGCAACATTCGAGAAGGGAAAGAACACCACTCACAATGTAGTATGCCATCAACAGCCCGTTTTTGTTGCCGCGGTCCAGTTTCAAGAAAAGGGAAACAGCAATGAGTGTCGGCAAAACCCACGTCATCATGACAATGGTCCGGAAGTTTTTGAACTTCGAAGCGCAAAAGGGACCAGTGAAGATAAAAAAGGCGACCCAGGCTCCATACGGAATTCCGTAGGCAGTCGTCAAGAGGGCATCCTTTGTAAAGCCCTTAACAATGAGTTTGCCAAAGTTGGCGATGCCGCCGTTGACAATCTCGTTGAGAAGGGTGTAGAAGAACAAAAGCCACACTTGGATGTCCTTGAATGCTTCCTTAATTTGAGCTGGCTTGATCTTTCGGCTAAAGACACCAGTCTTGTTGCTCTGGCTGCGAGCAATAAGCAGGGCCTTCTCTTCCACGGTGAATCGTTTGGCAGTCATGATGTTGTTTGGCAAATAGAAGAACAGGACGATGCCCCACACGATGGTAAGACCACCGCATATAATGAAGATGATTCTCCAAACATCCCATCCGTCTGCCTGACCGACACCGTAGAACAGAATGCCGCCGATCATGGAACCGAATCCGTTGAAGCAGTAGAAAGATCCAGCGCGTACCGGCGCCTCCGCCCTGGTGTACCACATGCTGACGATCATCATGAAGCAGGGTGTGATGACGGCTTCAAAAGCACCCAAGAGGAAGCGGCAGACGGCGAGCCCAGCAAAGCTATGGCATGCGGCGGTGCAGGTGAGAACTGTTCCCCAGCAGAGGACGAAGATGCTGACAATGGTGCCGGTGGGGAAGTGCTGAGCAAGGTAACTTGCTGGCCATTCTGCCAGAAGGTAGGCAAAGTAGAAGATACTGGCCAGCCATGAATACTGGCTTTGAGAAGTATTGGTTGTTTCGAAGAGGTCGAAAACTGCGCCGTAGCTCAGGGCCTGCTTGTCGATATACTGCAGAAGGTACGTTCCCATGAGAAGGGGCAACAATGTGAGATCGATCTAAAAATGGCATTCGCGTTAGAATTCGCAATATGAAGACAGGGGATGTTGCTGGAGTCCTCCAGAGGAACGAGACTGGAAAACTTACCCGGCGGACAAGCTTTTTCTGGGCCTGTTCATCTTCCATGAGCTCTCGCAGATGCGCATGAGAAAGGCCATTTTGCTGCAAGAAGATTTCGGCTTCATCGAGAAGTTCAACCTGACCGGCCTTGAGGTCCTCGCCGATACTGCCCGGCCGAGAGGGTTGCTTCTCCGCGATCTCCAGATCCTTGGGCCTGGGCTGCTCTGCGTTGACGGAAGCCTCAACCGCCATTGTGGAGTCCGGGGAAGTGGGCGAGCGGGTCGTCGCTCTTGTGTTCAAGCACGCGATGGACGATGTGGGCACAACTAGTTCACAAGAATTACATGTAGCAAACGCAAGTTGCTATAATGAAGTGAGGCTTTACAACGTCAAGCGAAATTGTTGGGTCGCAAGCTCGGACAATTGCGAGATGTCGGGACTTTCCCGGATCGGCAAACTCCAAGGTCGGGAGTCTCCTTTTATTCATTGTCATTATCAGAGGTAAAAGGTTTCCGGCATTGGCTTTGTCGACTCCTCAACCAGCCCCAAGACCAAGTCCCTAACTCGATAAGAGACTAACCGATAGCGACTGTTCGAACATATCTCTGGGCGGCGGCCTACTCCCGACAACATAGGCTACAGATAAGATGTCAGGTGATATTATCTGCCCAAGCCAGCGTCATATCCTAGCAGTCCTCACTAGCAAGACCCAATTGCTGATAAGGGTCCTGGGTCTGAAGGAAATTCCCCGCGTTGAAATGGGGGCATGATGAAGGAGTGGAGTCGCCGTGGACACTGTGCAGCCATTGCCATTGTCGGAAAACCAATGAAGACCGGAGAGCAGATTTAGGTGCCGAAGCGGTTGAATCGACGGTTGAAGAGTGAGTGGAGACATTTCGGTGAACCTCCGCCTTATCAGCTTGCGCGTTGACTAACAACTTATCTTCGTTAGCGTGAGTTGGTCGGGATTTAGCCAT